ATTTAAATACAAAATAAAACAAAAATTAATTTATAAATTGCTAAATTTAATTTATAATAGCAAACAAATTGCCCACCACTATTATAATCTATTTTAACAATGCGATGACAATTTCATTCAAGAAAATCTAAATTTAAATTTAGTACGTATTTAATTCTAATGTACCTATTGCTTGATTCAGTTAATTATATCTTTGCCAATGTTATTCATTTAAACAATTAACTAAAAATTATATTTTTAAAATACAATATTTTGTGTTTTGTATCGTATCGTTATTTGTAGTTGACAAATGATACACTGCGCGTCAAAATTAACGCATACCAAGTATCCAACTTTAAAACGCCTTTACCAATCTTTATAAAATTTTGTATACAAATACTTCAACTTATAGGTATCTCAGTTTTCGTATTCAAGGGTTTTTCGAGAAAATATCCTTAAAGCCCTTTTATTTAATAATAAAATATGCTTTTATAGGGAAATTTATTTAAATAAATAAAAAATTTGTTATGAAAGACCGTAACTTATAGGTATCTCAGTTTTCGTATTCAAGGGTTTTTCGAGAAAATATCCTTAAAGCCCTTTTATTTAATAATAAAATATGCTTTTATAGGGAAATTTATTTAAATAAATAAAAAATTTGTTATGAAAGACCGTATTTTTGTTAGTATACCCTAAAAATTTTGTACAAATCAAACGAACAGTAACGAAAATACAGCGCTTAAAAGTCGTCAAAAATGACCACTTTTCAGCAAAATATAAAAAGGGGGTCATTTTTACCGACTTTGTATCTTCGTTACTGTTCATTTTCAGGGTATACTAACGAAAATAAGGTCTTTAACAGCATATTTATTTAGTTAAAAAAATTCCCTTGTAGTTATTTTTCAAACGTTTTTTAATTATTAAATAAAAGAGCTCTAAAAATATTTTCTCGAAAAACCCTCGAACACGTGAGATATAAGTTGAAGTATTATTATATAAAATTTCAGTTTATTTAAATCCCACTAACTATTGACAAATAGTATACACTACAAGGGCAGAAAGTGTGAGATTCCTGCACTGCGCGCCATGATCATCACACGCAGTTCAGGGCTCTCACACTTTCTGCTCGTGTAGTGTATACTATTTTTCTTGCTACCCGGCCGAAAATACGGGAAAAAAATTAAATGTGTATATCGAAACATATTGATGCCTGCCCCGACATTTGCGGCACGAGCGATATTATAGAGGGCGCGCGTATAGCTTGACCATATATCGATATATTTGTATATTTTGTAGAAGGATAAAAAATTACATTTTCTTACTACCTCGGCCGAAAATACGTATAGCTTGACCAATGCATCAAACGTAAACTTTCTGCCGTGGAATCGGGGACGAAACAACGTATTTTCGGCCGAGGTAGTAAGAAAAATATTTTTTCTTGAAATTTATTAATAGATTTTTGTCACTATTTTCTAGAAAAATAGGTAACATTTTTTTTGTTGCTTGCCTTTATTTTAAATATTTACTTAAACATAATTTTCTGTGTATTTCAGACTGATTAATATTTTTGTAAATATAATAAAACCGAATATTTATTGGAGCCTTTTAATCGGACATCTGTGATATTGTTGTACACCATTTCATGTTAGCAGGTTTCAAATGTAATTTGTTCGTTTGTGTTTTTGCTTGTATTTAGAAAAAAATTGGCAAATAATCAGGAATTTTTGGCTTTAAAATTTTTTTAAACAAAGTTGTTGACTTCTCGTTTTTAGCTGCTGTAATTTGAATTAACTTGTTTGGAGTGATATATATATATATATACATATATATATATATATATATATAATATATATGTATTAAACATTGGAATATTTTTTAAAGATTCTCAATTATTAAAATATTATCTTTAGGTAATAAATGGAATCCATAATATTTAAATAAATAAAAAAAAACTAAATAGAAAATATATAAAATTAAAATATATATGCACAAATAAATTCACTTGATTTTATTGATAGATTGTCCTCTCTAACAAAGAAAACCAGGTTTTCTTTGCCATTATCAATATCTTTTATTCGCAATTTCCCCAATTTTGACCTTATCAATTAAACCTTTCCATATGGCACGCCGTTTTACTTTTTAATCGGTTAAAAAATATTAAGTTAAATATTAATACTTTAAAAATAAATTGCACTGAAAAATAATACCTTCAAAATAATACATTAATTAAAATTATACATGTCAAAGAAGTTATTCTTTTTTTAAATATGTTTATATAAGATGTTGAATTATTTATTTAATGTAATTTTTCTGTCTGCAATATTTTTGTGACACATTAATATTTAACTTAATATTTCTTATACAATTAAAAAGTAAAACGGCGTGCCATAATTAATTTTATACCTACGCAAATTTTAATTCTAATAAAAATGATACAATTAATTTTATGTGTACACATAAAATTAATGCACTGAATTTTTATTATGTAATTAAAATAGATAAAATTATATAATTAATTTTATCTAGATAAAATTATATAATTAATTTTATCTAGATAAAATTAATTCTATAATTTTTATTATGTAAAGTCAAAATTTTAATTGTAACATTAAAATGCATTGCATTAATTTTATCTAGATAAAATTATATAATTAATTTTATCTAGATAAAATTAATTCGGCGCTTTGGAGTGCGGTCGAAAGTGGCAACTGCAGTAGATCATATAGTAGGCACGTTTAATTTATCAAAGTTTGTCTAGTTTGGCGCCAATATGCGAGAGATCTGTTTGTGGTATTTGTGTTATTGATTGTTGGAACTGTTCGCAAGCCTGCCTGAGCTTATAAATCCTTAAAAATAAGTTTTGTTCAATATAAAACATATACTATGCACATGAACTACGGCAGATGCCACTTTCAGCCGCACTACCACAGCGCCGAATTAATTTTATCTAGATAAAATTAATTATATAATTTTATCTAGATAAAATTAATTATTTAATTTTATCTAGATAAAATTAATGCAATGAATTTTAATGTTACAATTAAAATTTTGACTTTACATAATAAAAATTATAGAATTAATTTTATCTAGATAAAATTAATTCTATAATTTTTATTATGTAAAGTCAAAATTTTAATTATAACATTAAAATTCATTGCATTAATTTTATGTGTACACATAAAATTAATTGTATCATTTTTATTAGAATTAATTTTATGTGTACAGATAAAATTAATTGTAAAATAAAAATGATTGTCGTGTTATAAATAGGAAATTGCAACTTAAAAAATAATAGATTAAAATAAAATGGTTTAAAAATCTTGTTTACAAAAAAAAAATTCAACAATGTTTTTAGTCTCACAATAATTCCAATATAAATTTCACAGTATAAAAATAAAGAACCTCATACGAAATAAAAATGGACCAAATTTAAATGATGCAAATATTAATTCAACTAACAAAATTTTTAAAATATTTTTAAACAGTTTACATATTATTTCGTTAGTTGAATTAATATTTGCATCATTTAAATTTGGTCCATTTTTATTTCGTATGAGGTTCTTTATTTTTATACTGTGAAATTTATATTGGAATTATTGTGCGACTAAAAACATTGTTGAACAATTTTTTTTGTAAACAAGATTTTTAAACTATTTTATTTTAATCTATTATTTTTTAAGTTGCAATTTCCTATTTATAACACGACAATCATTTTTATTTTACAATTAATTTTATCTGTAGGTACACATAAAATTAATTCTAATAAAAATGATACAATTAATTTTATCTAGATAAAATTAATTGTAACATTAAAATTCATTGCATTAATTTTATCTAGATAAAATTAATTATATAATTTTATCTAGATAAAATTAAATAATTAATTTTATCTAGATAAAATTAAATAATTAATTTTATCTAGATAAAATTATATAATTAATTTTATCTAGATAAAATTAATTCGGCGCTGTGGTAGTGCGGCTGAAAGTGGCATCTGCCGTAGTTCATGTGCATAGTATATGTTTTATATTGAACAAAACTTATTTTTAAGGATTTATCAGCTCAGGCAGGCTTGCGAACAGTTCCAACAATCAATAACACAAAAACCACAAACAGATCTCTCGCATATTGGCGCCAAACTAGACAAACTTTGATAAATTAAACGTGCCTACTATATGATCTACTGCAGTTGCCACTTTCGACCGCACTCCAAAGCGCCGAATTAATTTTATCTAGATAAAATTAATTATATAATTTTATCTAGATAAAATTAATGCAATGTATTTTAATGTTACAATTAAAATTTTGACTTTACATAATAAAAATTATAGAATTAATTTTATCTAGATAAAATTAATTCTAAAATTTTTATTTTTATTATAGTATAGTTATAATTTTAATTACATAATAAAAATTCAGTGCATTAATTTTATGTGTACACATAAAATTAATTGTATCATTTTTATTAGAATTAAAATTTGCGTAGGTATAAAATTAATTATGGCACGCAGTTTTACTTTTTAATTGTATAAGAAATATTAAGTTAAATATTAATGTGTCACAAAAATATTGCAGACAGAAAAATTACATTAAATAAATAATTCAACATCTTATATAAACATATTTAAAAAAAGAATAACTTCTTTGACATGTATAATTTTAATTAATGTATTATTTTGAAGGTATTATTTTTCAGTGCATTTATTTTTAAAGTATTAATATTTAACTTAATATTTTTTATCCGATTAAAAAGTAAAACGGCGTGCCATATTTCCACTAAATTCTTTGGCGGTATTTTGTATGTAATGAGTTCTAAAATTTGTAAAATTACTCTAAAGTACACTTAGCCAATGCATTAAGTAATGAAACTGTGTAATAGGCCATTACAAAATCGGACGTCTGTTTGCAGGGTAATTATTATCAGGTAATTATTTCAGGATTTCAGTAATTGATTTTATTAAATTGTAAAGGAAAAAAGAAAACAATTCTTTAATTGTAAAAAGTATGTATTTAAACATCATAGGTATCACAATATTTCTTAACTTTTAATGAAAAAATTATTCTCAACAGCAAACCTAACACACTGCAACAAAACATTTCTTTCATGTATAATCTCACTTTCCAACAATTTCTCCAGTAGCGTCACTTTCCGCCTTTTAAAATTATCGTGCGGAAAATCTTTATTTTCCGTATTCTTGAATTGCTGTCTTTTGTTTTTTTTTCTCTCCGCATATTCCTTCCTTTTTTGTTTCATCTGCTGCTTCCTAGACATTCTTTCAGGTGTGATTTTGGTTTTTTCAGTCTCTTGTGTTGGTAGCTCTGCTGTGGGCTGTGTTTTAAGTATTTTTACTTCCAGAGGAGCCTCATTATCACTTACACTTTGAGATTCTACCGTTTTTGAACTTTTTAATTTGACTTCTGGTATAATATCATCCATTTCGTCATCAGATACATAGGCACTCATTAGGGCACCTAGCGCGTTATTTAGTCTAACGATAGGTCCTTTGGAGGTTTTTGAGGTTTCCCATTCGTCGTCCTCAAAATCGCTCTCAATTGTCTCCTCTTTTTCTCCGTATAACTCCACGGTTCCGCGGAAAGGAAACATGCCTCCATTCCAGTCGCATTTTTCGTCGATAATCGATTTTGGCACCACCTGTTTTTTATTTTGAGTTGGCTTCTTTTTTTGAGTTTTATTTTCCGTGCGGGGGCCTTTTGACACTAAAATAAAAATTTTATTGTACTATATTACATATGGTATGTTTTTACTTACATCTATATTTATCCTTCCCAAACCTATTCTCCTTTTTCTCAATCCTTTCCCCCCTCTTTATTTTTTCTTCCTGCTCCTTATATCTTCTTTCAATATTATCTTTATTGGGGTACTTTTTCTTTCTCTCCATTATCCATTTTTGTATATCCTCTGGAGTACTTATATTCCTTATTTTATCGTACAAACCAGAAGCATGTTGCATTCTTATATGCTTCTCTATAATTTTCTCATGTGCTGTAAAGGTACAACCGTCTAAATTACATGTTCTATGTTCGGACATGTGTTTTTCGTAATGTTGGCGTGTAAAAAACTCCTTTTCGCACGTGTCACACGCAAAGTTTTCTTCTGTTTCCACCTCTTCATAATATTCTTCATCTTCATAATATTCTTCACCTTCATAGGATTCTTCATCACTGTAACCATATTCTTCATAGTGTGAAGATCCCTAAGAGGCAAAATAAATTAGTGCTGAGATAAAATACATGTTAAAGAAAATGCTATTAATAATATCAACAATTTCTCAAAAAATTGTTCATACAGCATTTTCTCCCCATGTTGAATGGTAACACAAAAACAGAATAATACAAGTTAACGAATTTGAGAGAAAGTTATAAAACTACTTTGAAGTAACTTTTCTGAACATTGAAATAAAAGATAACTTACGCCTTGAATTCCATGATTGCAAAAAAAGTTCTTTTTGAAATAATTTGTGATTGTATAAAAAAAATTAAATTCCTTTATACAGTCAGGCTCAATCCTTAAAAAAATACTTACATTTACGTTAAGGGTTTTGATGTATTGCCTTTTTAACAAAATAGGCATAAAAAAGTATTTTTATAATTTGTTCTTGGATTTGTTGAAATTTTACAAAAAATTTCTACATTTTCACACTTTTAGGATGTTTTTCTTACCAATTTATATTATTCATGATTTGGCCAAATATATGATTACAAAAAACTTTAAGGGTATTTAGGAAACATTACATCTCAAATAACTCCTATATGTGATATACAGTGGTTAAAAAATCAATTTAAATTATCCCAGAACCTATAAAATTACAAATCTATTGATCCAAAAAAAAATAAATATTATTATATACCATTTAAAATCCAACTTCGTCCATTTTAAGGTAGCATGTTCTAAATATGAAAGGTTTAGGAAGGGATTTTATTACATAAACACGCAAATTTTAAAGATTTTCAATATAAAATTGCTTTTGTTAAAAATAATTTTTATAACCACTGTATGTCAAAATATTATACCTAAATTACAAAAACCATTATTTCTTTGCAGAATACTCAAAGAAATTATGGTTGATTATTCTAATTGATAATAAAATATTTAAGTAAAATCATTATAGAGGCAATGGCAAAAAGTTGTGTGGATTTTACAAAAATATTTTTAAATTTATAGGCATACCTATTAGAGAACACCTCCAAGAAAAAATTATTTGAATTGAAATAATTAGTAGCAAAAACATTACAAGTTTAACTTATTTAATATTTTGTAGAAAAAATCATTTGTGTTTTGTAAAACTATTTTATTTAACACTGATATTAATTACAAAGTATACTTTGCTGTCAAGGTACTATTGTTTTAAAACAAATTTAAATCTAACAAAAAAAATAATTATTTTGAAATTACACATAATGACTATTATAATTATTACACTGAATTTTTGCAAATTGCAGATTTTACACAAGACACTGCAAATTTACATTAATCTACATCTAATACTTTAAAAATTATTCAGACATACAAACAGGGCAAATTAATTATAAAATTACATCTAATAGTTTTCTGTTAAAAACTATGTGAAATTAATTTAAATAATTTAGAGCCAGATTTGCAAATTGAAACCAACTGGCCATAATTGAGAGAGCCCGTTATGCTGTTGCTACTTCTTTTATTGTAGATTCAGTATTGGTTTCAGAAGCAGGCTGAGATATTTGCCCACTGGGCTCATTGTTACTTTGAGTCTCTAAATTTTTGTTCGTCTCTGCCTTGGTAACTATTTTGCTCTCCTGTAAAGATACCCAACAAATTTAGAATCTGAGCATTTATCACAAAAAATAAAGAAACAAAAACATTCAAAAACTCATTTACAGTTTATTGTGGGTTAAATTAGAGCCATCATCCTTTTACACCTTGAGGCATAAAAAAATATTCAAAGCAGTTTTTATTGATGGATGTTTTTCGTCACTCAACACAGCCATCAATTTTGGGTTGCAAGATTTTGATATTATTTAAAATACATTATCAATATCTTACAATTGTTTAAACCAGTAATAGAGATGAAATAAAAAATAGTTAGGGCTGTAAAATGTATAAACAACAATTTAAAATAAATTAATTAATTTTTTTATTAAATAATGGTAGTAAATTTGTCAGGCAGTCTATAGCCTAATAAACAAATTTACTACAATTATTTAATAAATATCTATTTGCGCTATATTTGGAAGTAATTTATTTGAAATAGGTACAAACTGTTATTTAAAAATCCAGTCCAATTATTGAAGTATTTATCTCAAAAACTGGTCATGTGGAATATTGTTGTAAAGGGTGTAAGGAAGGTGGAGGTAAAAGGTGCCTAGGAAAGGATGGGTGTGATTTAATGCCAAATACCTATAAATGGACGTCTGCTGTATAATCAATAGGTGCTGTTACTCTTGCAAAATTAGTTTCTGGCAAGAGCTGAGGGATACGAACCTCCTGTTGCCCGGCATGCTCCTTTTCAGCAGCCACATACAGTTGGGTGCACTTCTCTCGTTGCTCTCTAAATGCAGTCCAGTCAGCTTTGTCTTGTGAAGCTTTAGCTTTCTTTAAAAGTTCTTCTTTCTTTGTGAGTTCATCTTTGATTTCCTGCGTTACAAATTCCTTTGTGGCATCCATTTGCTTTGTCTTGGGCCTTTTTTTGATTAGTTTGCCTTTGGGATTGATGCCTCTGAAGTTCGGAGGGAATCTGCCCTTTCTTGGCGGCATGCCTCTGAAACCGCCCCTCATTGGCGGTGGCATGGGAGGGCGCATCATGTGCGGCGGCGGCGGTCTCATGCCCGGCGGCGGGCGCATACCTGGGGGCCCAAACATGCCCGGTGGTGGCGGGCCTCTGGGGCCCGGCCCCATCATCGGGGGCGGTAGTGGAGGACCTCTCATGAGTCTTCCGCGCATTGGCGGCCTGCCGCCCCTCATTGCAGGCGGCATCGGCGGTCTCAAACCGCCTCTCATGGGTCTCATACCGCCGGGAAATGGCGGCGGGCCATTAAATGGAGCACGCCCTTGTCGCGGCTTACCTCTTCCACGCTTCTGTGCCGCCCCTCTTTTATTGCCGCCTCTTCCTTGTACTGGAGCACCCATTTTATCCCCCGCACAAAATAAACCGATTTATAAACAACTTTAAGATTCACAAAAGAAACGAAACACGCTTGTTAAATGATGCCAACAATTACGTCACTACCTTGTTGCCAACATTCAAAAACCTACTTCCGGTGTTTAGTGATTTATTTAAATTATTACTTGAAATATCAAAATAATTGTAAAGCAAAATATATTTCAAATATAAAATTAATTTTTGTGTAATTTTTTGTATTGTAACAACAGAAATGTATTATTTAAAAATGTTTTTTAAGATGCGTCCTCTTTTAGTAACTCAAATAACTATCAAAAGATAAACAGAAATCTGTAAAAATGAGCAGTTGTAGTTGGCGCGTATTTCCAAAACTACATGACGGTTACTTTTGTGCACGCCGTAAAAAGTAGTTCCGAATCTGATTATTGCAAAATAATTAAAATTGCATCAAAAGGGACGTTAGTGAAGCCGGTACAGTTAGCAGTCAAAAAATTATTGTAAATTTGACATTTTTCAAGTGCATCAACAAGGAAATTTTAAATATCCACAGATAACGATTATCACACCTCGGGAGCGTAGGAGACAGCCATCCTGCCAAATCTGCCAGTTGAATCATCCTACATGTGGTGTTAGCCGGCTGATTGCTGGAATTATTTAAATATAACAGCCAAATTTAGTTAAGTAGTGCGTAAAAATAAACAAATACAATGCATCAAGAAACACTGCAACTCATCCAAATTCTAGAAAAGACCGTTTCACCAGGTAAGTGCGAATCATATTATTGTCAGGTTGCCATTATACCTTTCAACCTACATCACTAATATTTTTATACAAAATCTTTAACAAAACCTATACCGTCCTAAAACTACCACGAATCTTGTATTTTTCATAAAACCACCCTTGTCAATAATTTATAACCTTCAAAATATAAGGTCAATATCCTTTTTATTTTGAATCCAATACACAGGGTGTTAGGGATATAAGTAACTTTAGCAGGTGGTAATATGTTGTCAGAGAAGTAAAAAAAACTACTACACAATACTTTTTTCTAGTCTTCCCTTGATTCCAAGATACAGGGTGTTTGAAGTACAAAATATGAGTAGCTAGTTTTGTTTAACCACAAATTATGTTGATCAAATCTTAAAAATCATCAGGGTTTTATATATTTAAGTGTCAACATACCCCACACTAAACAATTTGTTCATTTGCATTGGAGGACACTGAAGGAAAATCAAATTTTTCATGATCTTTTAGACAAAACCGAATTAGAGCAGGCTTCACATTTTCTGGAGCAAGCGGCAACAACTAACCTATTGGAATTTATCAGGACCCTCTCTGATATATTAAGACATGGGGGAAATAGTCATGTTGCCCGAATGGCTGCCGGTTTGCAGCTCAAAAACCAACTTACATCAAAAGATGCCACCAACAAGGTTGTCTATCAGCAGCGCTGGCTTGCTTTCCCCGAAGAAGTGAGGAGTTACATCAAAAAGAATGTATGTACAGATTTGTTTTTTCTTAGGCACTATTTTAATGGTTTTGAGTCGAATCAATTTATTTAAATGCCTTGCCACAACCAATTTTAAAATTTCTTGAAAATAAATTTTTATACATGATATCTTGTAAATACAATATTGAAAATATAAGGAATTATTGGTAGGTATCAATTGTTGAATATTATGTATCTATTTAAACAACTTCTTTTGCCATAACAGCCTTTAAAATGGCCCATTAAAATGTTTATTGATTGTTATGTAAACCAATAGTATTAATCACATATATTATTTTTATTACAAGTTATAATTTAATGTTTTGTCTCTATTTTATTGTTTTTATGTTATCATGCAAATACCTACCTTAAAATAAACACACTCACAATTTTAGTTTTGAAAAGTTTAATTGTGCAGAGCAAGTTTTTACAAAAATCTGATGTTAAAAAAATATACACTCAGATTTTGATGTTTTTTAAATGTAGGTTGACTCTTTAGTAACAATGCTTTGGTAGACATTTTTATTTTAGCATGTACACCATACCTTATACAGGGTGCAAAATTAAGAAGACATTTTTGTTATCATTTTTTTTTATTTGTATATGATGTATATGCTCAAATTAAAATCACAATAAAAATGTCCACCATAGCATCATAACTGAAAAGTCAACCTACAATTTAAAAAAAAATCATCAAAATGGAATGAGCGGATTGCGAGGAAATAAACATAAAAATTGGCCTATTTTGTTGTCGGTTATTGTATTATTATTTTTATTTAAAAGTTAATTTTGTTTTTCATTGTCATAAAAAAAACATAAAAATAAGAATTGATATAAAATGTATTTACAGTCCCTGTCGCACACAAATGTTCTTTAATTTTGGTAATTTGTAAAATTGTTGATATCTTGTCACAAAAATGCAAGTAATTTTATGAATATAGTTGCGTTTTTAGGTCGATAAAACACATTTTTACGATATAATTAGGAGTATAAAATTAATTTAAAAAACTACTTTGTGGGCTTTAAATAGTATATTATGTCTCAAGTTTGAGCTTGCGAGCGAGTGCTTAATTAAATAAGTGCACAGAAAAGTTTATTAACAAGTTGCATACTATACTTTTTCTACGACAAATACTATCTAAAAAAAAGTTTGTATAAAGCGACATTTATACGAAAAAGAAGTAACCATGCAAATGAACATTTTTGACGTAATTTTCACCATTAACATTGCCCGTTATTATTTTAATTAAACTTAACAATTATTGATACTTTAAAATATTAAAAGAACTTCAAAATATGATTATGTCAAAAAAAATATTTTATCCTTTAATTTTTTTATGGTAATAATTATTGCAAAATATCACAAAGTATTAAAAATTCTTTCAAGGGAAATGTTTAAGGTACAAAAAGACCGTTAGAATTTATAACTTGGGAATCTCAAATTTTTCTGTGTAAATCAAAATGTATCCCTTGAAAATAGACCTACAATCGATATAAAAGCAGTGTTTCACAGCAAAAGAGAAGAGAATGTTTTATGGGGACAGTACGCAAAATTTTTAACGCTTTATCAGTTAAATCTAGTTAACTGCACTACAACGTCGAATTCAAAAGGTCAGTTCAAACGTCATATTATCTTTTTAAAAATTGGCGTCAAGAAACCATTTAATACTTTTGTATTGTGATTATAAAATATTGTTCATATTTAGTATTATTTTACAAGATTAACAATTAACTTAGCCCGTGACTAAAGCGCCATAAAGCCAAAACTTCAATGTTTATTTAATAATAATAATCTTTATTTGCCATATTATGTTAGGTATTTTTTTTTAAAACATTTAAATGCATTTTCATTTAAATGCCTGACTTGTTCAGAAAAACTGATTTTCGCAATAAACCTGATTAAAATTACCATGTTGTGAGAAATATTTAAAAGTATTTTAGATATTTTTTTACCATCCCTTTTAGTTCTAATTTTATAGTAAAAATGTGTTTTGCCGTATCGTAGGCTTGCTTTTTAACGCGATTCTATTCATACAATCATTTTTGCAGAACTGCATTTTTGTGATAACGACTATTTTTTTGTCCGGGGACTGTACGTGATGCGGTAACTTTCATTAAAGGTGGTGGGTGCCCTCGGGACCGAAACAAATCGTCCATCTTCGGCGGCGCAGTGCGTCGCGTACATCGCCGTCGCGGAACTTCCGCAGAAACAATGGCCGGATTTAATTCAAACGTTGGTCAACAACGTGTGCCATGCAAATTCTACCGAAATGCAGAAAGAGGCCACCCTCGAGGCCATCGGCTACATCTGCCAGGAAATCGATTCGGACGTGCTCGTGACGCAAGCGAACGATATTCTCACCGCTATTATACACGGTATGCGGGTATCCGAGCAGAGTAACCACGTCAGATTGGCCGCCACGCAGGCTCTATTAAATTCGTTGGAGTTCACGAAAGGCAACTTTGATCAACCCACTGAAAGAAATTTCATTATGGAGGTTGTGTGCGAAGCCACGCAATCGCCCGATTCGCAGATCAAAGTTGCCGCTTTGCAGTGTCTCGTCAAGATAATGTCTCTCTACTATCAGTATATGGAGCCTTACATGGCGCAGGCTCTTTTTCCCATCACTCTAGAAGCAATGAAATCGGAGAATGATGCCGTTTCGCTGCAAGGTATCGAATTCTGGTCGAATGTTAGCGACGAAGAGGTCGATTTGGCGATTGAGGATACGGAAGCCACCGAAGCCGGTCGACCTCCTTCGAGAGTATCAAGGCACTACGCCAAAGGCGCCTTGCAGTTTATCGTACCGATTTTACTGCAGAAGTTAACCAAGCAGGAAGAATTGGACGATGAGGACGACTGGAACCCCAGCAAAGCCGCGGGAGTGTGTCTCATGCTTCTGGCCACTTGCTGTGAGGACGAAATTGTACCGCACGTACTGCCGTTCATCAAAGAGCACATAAAATCCGAGAACTGGCGATTCCGAGACGCCTCTTTAATGGCGTTCGGTTCTATTCTCGGCGGTCTAGAGACAACCACGCTAAAACCACTCGTCGAGCAGGCAATGCCCACGCTAATCGAACTTATGTACGACAGCAGCGTCATCGTGAGAGACACGGCTGCGTGGACTTTCGGAAGAATATGCGAGATTATACCCGAAGCCGCCATACACGAGACTTTTTTGAAACCGCTGCTCGAGAGTTTGGTGACGGGGTTAAAAGCGGAGCCTCGCGTTGCCGCGAATGTCTGCTGGGCTTTTTCTGGCTTGGCCGAGGCCGCCTACGAGGCGGCCGAGCCGAACGAGGAGACCGGAAATCCGGACACGTACGTGCTTTCACAGTACTTTGATTTCATCGTCGAGAGGCTGCTGGAGACTACGGACAGGCCGGACGGCGCGCACGCCAACCTCAGGCCCGCCGCGTACGAGGCGCTCATGGAGATGGTCAAGAACTCGCCCAAGGACTGCTACGTGACCGTCCAGAAGACCACCATGGTTATTTTGGAGCGCCTGCAGCAAGGTATGTTGCCACCCGAATTGTGTTATTTTATTTTCAGATCGGCAAACAAACTGTGGTGTAAAATTGAGTACAGTTATGTCTTCTGTTGCACCTACTTTTTAGGACTGAGCAGTCATTTTTTTAATGCGCTTCTTTGGGTTTTATAGGTGGATTTTGTTAGTTTTTCATTCTATACAGATTTTAGTGAAACAACATTTAAAAAGAAATACTGTTATGAAAAATTCAAGTATTTTCAAAATTTCTTTTTTACGACTTATTTTCGAGGTATATCGTCAACCATAAAATGCGGTGGAATACAGATCGGCAGGGGAATCCCAGAGTTTTGTTTGATCCCAGAGTTGATCCCAGAGTTTTGTTTGATCGTTTCTTTGTATTCGAATTATATATGTATAGAATATCATTTTATTGTCATTTGGTACAAATTCTATACAGATTTTAATAAAAAAAACATTTAAAAAGAAATACTATTCATAAGAAAAATTCAAGTATTTTCAAACTTTTACTACCTTCTTTTCTACGACTTATTTTCGAGGTCGTTCGTCAACCTTAAAATGCTGTAGAATCAGATCGGCAGGGGAATCCCCGAACTTTAAAATTTCGATCGTTTCTTTGCATTCTAAATTGGAATTATTTATGTATAGAATTTCCAATATCGTCACCGAAATGAGCAAAACTGTCAATTTTTTTCAGTTTTCGCCATTTTATTGTCATTTGTTACAAATTCTATACAGATTTTAGTAAAAAAACATTAAAAAAAAATACGTTTTATAAGAAAAATTCAAGTATTTTTAAAATTTCACAACTTTCTTTTTTACCATATACTTTCGTCTTCAACTATAAAATGCGGTGAAATACAGAATGACAGGGGAATCCCCGAACTTTAAAATTAAGATTTGTTTGATCGTTCCTTTTTATTCTAAATTTGAATTATATATGCAAAGAATTTTCAATATCTCCACCCAAATGAGCAAAACTGTCCATTTTATTCATTTATTGCCATTTTATTGACATTTGGTACAAAAACTGCAAGAAATGCAAAAGTTGAAATGTGAAATAATTTTTAGTGCTTCTCATGGACACGCACATTACGAGCCACTACGACCGTTCGCAATTCAACGACTTGCAGTCGCTGCTCTGCGGCACCCTGCAGTCCGTGTTGAGAAAGGTGACTCCAGAGGACGCCCCCAGGATATCCGACGCCATCATGACCGCCATGCTGACCATGTTCAGCTCCAATTCGTGTAAGAGCGGTGGTAAGTTTGGGACTATTTAGTTTGGTGACTTGGCGTTTCTCTAGACAAACTACCATTAGCTGTTTATTGCATTTTATTGCATGTGCTAACCTGCTTAATTTTTTTTGTTATTGCTACCTGTCAGTTTTTCGTTTTCTTTCATTTTTTAGATTTTAATTCAGTTTTATTTGCTGATGATTTTACTTTATTAAATATTATATTAAGCACTTAGCAATAGTTAAATTGTTTTTCTTAAGAATGCTTAGCTAAACTAAGTAGTTCTAAGCTAACTCACATATAATCATAATAATTATTTAGATAATTTTTAAATGTGGTAGGTATTTGAAGATATTCAACTGTTTTCCTTAGTTTAAGGAGTTCTGTGACTGAATAATTTGATATTTTGCTATATCTACTATTTATTTATTTTTTCTTTAAAGTTAAAATAACGGACTTTAAATATTAAAATAATAAAAATAATATTTCAGTGCGAAAAAATTTCTACACCTGAAATTAGACTACTTTTTTGGTTCGCTAAATTCGATTCCGGGGTTATATTATATATCACACGGTATTTTTTGTTACGCCACCTGAAAGTACTGTTCTTTAAAATCATTTTTTAATTCTTTCAATACCTTTTCCCCTTTTTGAGAAATCTTTAGTTAAAATTGATGAGTTTGGTTTTAATAAAAATGTAATTTATTTCGAAATAACCAAGGATTTCTCAAGAAGATAAAATTTTAAAAAAATTCAAAAGAATTTTATAGAGTTTTGGCGGGAAAATATCTTTTAGTGTAACACAACGCGTTTTTTCTACTAATGGGATAAAATCTCTCCAAAATCGAAATTCAGCTCATCAAAATTTTTGAAAAAGTTTCAGGCATAGAAATTTGGTTAAATTATGTCGCAGTGTAATCAATTGAGAATTAAAAAATATTTTAAATATAAAATGCAAATTTGAAAGTATAAGTTTAAAATATTTTAAAAATTGTAGTTTTAATATTTTACTCTACACAATTATTGGTTTAAATTTGTAGAGTCATTTAAATAATGGTCGACAAAAACAAATTTAAACCGATAATTTTATAGAATAAAATATTTTGAACTAAAATTTTTAAAAATCAATATTTTTAAGATTAAAGTTTTATATATACAGGGTGTTATGTAATTAATGTTATATATTAAAATACTAAATACCTTTTGACATAAGGAATAAAGGAAAAATATTTAAAAAAATATTTTTCCAAAGATAAAGAAAAAATATGCATTAGAAGTTTTTTATATTTTTTGTGATACGCCACTGGTTACACACTTGGTTTATCTCTGCACACTTGTATTCTGTGAGTACATAGATACCAACCAACAAAGTACGCGTTGCCAGATGTAAAAAATTGTTACTAAGTAAACATTTTTTTTGCAAAATATAAATAAAAACTCAATAAATACAAAAGTTTTATGCCCTTGAAGCTCTAATACCCTTCTGTATTTATTTACTCATCCAGCTATTAGCTTTAGCAATGATTAGAAAATTTAGTACCTATTTTAAAAAATCCATAACCACAAAATTAATTTTTTCATCAGTTTTTTGCTTCCTGTTTACTCAGATGAAATTGGGACCAGTTCACAGGTTAAACTTTTAACATTTAATATTTGTAAATAAATCCAAAAGCACTTCCCTTAGTTAAGATATTTACAATTTGAGCACATAACCTAAAATTTGAAAGAAATGCACTAGATTGTCATAAAAGTTGGCAGATTTTGTTTGAATTTACCTTCAGTATAAAAATGACATTACCAACAATTAATAAAAACGCCAAATTGACAATTTACATTGTTAATTTTGTCATTTTTGTAATTAAGCTAAACAATGTTTGTCAACTTTTTTGAGAGATTTTGGAAACACTGTTGTTACCAACCATAACATAATAAATCCACCAGATTAGCCTAAAGTTCCTAGTCGATCAGTGGCGTACTTTTTGGTAGGATAAAGGTTATTATAAATTATTTTTAGACTTTGGAATTTAGAAGAAAAAAAAGTTTCAGGGGCTTCTTTATGGACCCTAAGGAACAACCCATTTTAATATATAACATTAATTACATAACACCCTGTATAAATATATATATATATATATATAATAATGCTAAAACGTCTAAAAAAATCCGAAGAAAAATCTTGGCTAGGTTTTTTTTCGAATTTGGGGCTATTTTTCCCCAAATTTGACCGATCTAACGCGCCAACTAACAATAAACTTGATAGGCGTGCAAGAGGACGCCCTCATGGCCGTCTCGACGCTCGTCGAAGTTCTCGGCGAGAACTTCCTCAAGTACATGGACGCGTTCAAGCCGTTTCTGTACATCGGTCTGCGAAACCACCAGGAGTACCAGGTGTGCGGTACCGCGGTCGGTCTGACCGGGGACATTTTCCGCGCGCTGAAACACAAAGCTCTTCCGTACTGCGACGAGATCATGGCGCTCTTGCTGGAGAACCTGGGCGACCAGACGGTGCACCGCACCGTCAAGCCGCAGATTTTGTCCGTCTTCGGGGACATCGGCCTGAGTATCGGCGCCGAGTTCAAGAAGTACCTGGAGATCGTGCTGTCGACTTTGTCGCAAGCTTCGCAGGCTCAAGTCGACAGGAACGATTACGATATGATCGATTATTTGAACGAGCTGAGGGAAGGCGTTTTGGACGCTTACACTGGGATTTTACAGGTTAGTGCACTATTTTAATAGGAACTAAAAGTTAAAAATTTTGGATGTTTGAAAATAAAGTAATATTTTATTTTCAAACATCCAAAATCTAACCAACATTTGGACATTCCTTTAATTAAAAAATGAATACCTTTTGACGTAAGGTGTAACGGAAAAATATTTTCCCAAAGATATAGAAAAAATATACATTAGAAGTTTTGTATATTTTTTGTGATATGCCACTGGTTATACACTTGTGTTCTATTACATAGATACCAACCAACAAAGTAGCTGCAAGTTGCCAGTTGTAACAAATTGTTACTAAAAATACAGCTCTTAGCTTAAGCAATGATTAGAAAATTTAGTACCTACTTTAAAAACTCCATAACCACAAAATTAATTTTTTAATCGGTTTTTTTCTTTCTGTTTACTCAGATGAAATTAGGGCAAGTTTACAGGTTAAACTTTAAACATTCAATTTGTGTAAATAAATCCAAAAGCACTTGCCTTAGCTCTTCTTCTTCTTTAGATATTGGCCTTTAATCTATTTCTGATTATTTGGCCAGCTCATGATAGGCACTTCCCTTAGTTGAGATATTTACCATTTGAGCACATAACATAAAATTTTAAAGAAATGCACTAGATTCTGTCATAAAAGTTGCCACTAACAATTTGCATTGTTGATTTTGTCATTTTTGTAATTAAGCTAAATTTAAACAAAATCTGGCAACTTTTTTTAACAGAATCTGGAAACGCTGGTTGTAACCAACCATAACATAATAAATTAAATTAGGCAACCAGATTAGCCTAAAGTTCCTAGTCGATCAATGGCATCCTTTTTGGTAGAAAAAAGGTTATTATAAATTATTTTTAGTCTGGAATTTATTAAAAAAAGCTTCTTTATGGACTCTAAGGAACCCAACCCATTTTAATATATTACATTAATTACATAACAGTGTTATGATAACACCATGTATTTATTTGAAAAATAAAATTATGCATTTCCTAATTAAAATAATGTCCAAATATTTGTTAGGATTTTTGATTAAAGATTGTCACAATTTTCTGTTCATAATATTAATTGTTACACAAACAATATGTTTTATTTGAAAATATTATTTTATAATACGACTGTTAAAAACGTATTTATGCCTTATAAAAATTGTGTTTGTGATTACAATTATGGTTTGCAAATGTTTTACAAACCCGGAATGAGCCAATATCGCAACGTTTTTGCTTGTGATAGGGCTTGAAGGGCGACGGGGCGAGCCCCAATCCGGAAGTGAACATCCTCGAGCCGCACATACCGTTCATAGTGCAGTTCATCACGGTGGTGGCGCAGGACCAGGAGCACTCTGACGGCACCGTCGCAGTGGCGGCGGGCATCGTCGGCGACCTGTGCGCCGCCTTCGGCGCTCCCATGGTGCAGCTGTTGGATCTCGAGCCGATCAACGAGATGCTGGCGCAAGGTCGCAGAAGCCGCGTCAACAGAACGAAAACCTTGGCCACGTGGGCCACCAAGGAGCTCAGGAAACTCAAGTCGCAGAGCACAGCCGTTGCGGCCAGCTGGTAAGTTAATGTTTTTAAAAGTGCGGACGGGGTGAATCAAAACGGAATTTTAATTTTCAAAGCAGCTTGAAAGCTCTAAAAAATCTGCTAATGGTAAGAGAAATATAAAACATATTATGTTTTGTATTTCTCGTATCATAATCCGATTTTTTTTTACTTTAGAATCAAATGTTACAATTTTTAATGTAACTTATAAAATTAATATCAATAAATTAAAAAAATATTGGACAGGGTAAACCAAAACAACGCACGCACATTCCTGCGTTGTATTAGAATATTTGAAACAAAATTCGCACAGCATAAATTTAAAAAATGTTGGGACAAATTCGCACATTTTTTTAAATTTACAAAGTTTTTGGAATTTTAAGTTTCAAAACAACTTGAAAACTCAAAAAATCTGCTAATGGTAAGAGAAATATTAAACATATTATGTTTCGTATTTCTCGTATCATAAGTCGATTTTTTTACTTTAGAATCAAATGTTACAATTTTTAATGTAACTTATAAAATTAATATGAATAAATTAAAAAAATATTGGACAGGGTAAACCAAAACAACGCACGCACATTCCTGCGTTGTATTAGAATATTTAAAACAAAATTCGCACAGCATAAATTTCAAAAATGTTGGGACAAATTCGCACACTACTTTAAAATTAAAAACTAGTGGGACAACTTTTCACATTTTTTTAAATTTACAAAGTTTTTGAAATTTTAAGTTTCAAAACAACTTGAAAACTCAAAAAATCTGCTAATGGTAAGAGAAATATTAAACATATTATGTTTCGTATTTCTCGTATCATAAGTCGATTTTTTTTACTTTAGAATCAAATGTTACAATTTTTAATGTAACTAATAAAATTGCGTTGTATTAGAATATTTGAAACAAAATTCGCACAGCATAAATTTAAAAAATGTTGGGACAAATTCGCACATTTTTTTAAATTTACAAAGTTTTTGGAATTTTAAGTTTCAAAACAACTTGAAAACTCAAAAAATCTGCTAATGGTAAGAGAAATATTAAACATATTATGTTTCGTATTTCTCGTATCATAAGTCGATTTTTTTTACTTTAGAATCAAATGTTACAATTTTTAATGTAACTAATAAAATTGATATTAATAAATTAAAAAAATATTGGACAGGGTAAACCAAAACAACGCACGCACATTTCTGCATTGTATTAGAATATTTGAAGCAAAATTCGCACAGCATAAATTTCAAAAATGTTGGGACAAATTCGCACACTAGTTTTAAAGGAAAAAAAATAGTGGGAAAAATTTGCACAATTTTTTTAAATTTACAAAGTTTTTGGAATTAAGGTTTCAACACAGCTTGAAAGCTCAAAAAAATCTGCAAATGTTATGAGAAATATTAAAAATATTACTTTTCGTATTTCTCGTATCATAAGCCGATTTTTTTTACTTTAGAATTAAATGTTACGAAATTCAATGTTTAATAAATTTACAAAAAAGTGATTTTTATGACCAAAAAAAATTGGTTTAGTAATAGAGTTATTTATTATTGGGAAAATATTGTATTTACCTTATATTTCTAAATAAACTTAAGGTTGCCAAATATTTTCCCTAGATAAATTTGAAAAATCTCTGAGTAAAATTGTTAAGAATAAATTTTGCTTCGTTCCTTTTCTACAGCCAAAAAGAATTTTTTTAAATTTTGAGGCTTTCTTTTGAAAATTTGTCAAATTTTTTTAAAATTTGAATTAACTGGCTTTAAAAAAGCCATTTAAAAAAAGGAAAAATGGACCTTAAAATACAAACTTAAAAAAAATCAATTTAGCAAAATTTTGACAACAAATTTCACCCTATCTTTAAGCTTTTTTGAGAAAAAAATATACGAATTTAATGTTTAAACCAGAAAAAAATTAATATTTTAATATTAATATTTAATATTTAAATTTACCTTTTGAAAAAAAACCGAGGGGTAAACAACCGGGCCAAATTTGTACGCCTATTACGCAAAACGCGTAATACTTACCAAGTATTACGTAAAATTAACATGTATTACCTCGTATTACGTAATAACATTTGGTATTACTTAATATTACGTTTTATTACTTAATATTACGTTGTATTACTTGGTATTACGTTATATTACGTCCTATTACTAAGTATTACGTAAGTGCTGCCATCTATAATTTTAATTATAAATTAATTTTTGAAGGTATAAAGGTGTAGAATTGAGGTTAGGTAACTAATATGCATATTAAATATTTTTTCTTACTACCTCGACCGAAAATACGTTGTTTCGTCCCCGATTCCATTGCAGAAAGTTTACGTTTGATGCATTGTTCAAGCTATAAGTATTTTCAGCCGAGGTAGTAAGAAAATGTAATTTTTTATCCTTCTACAAAATAAAAAATATACAAATATATCGATATATGGTCAAGCTATACGCGCGCCCTCTATAATATCGCTCGTGCCGCAAATGTCGGGGCAGGCATCAATATGTTTCGATATACACATTTAATTTTTTCCCGTATTTTCGGCCGGGTAGCAAGAAAAATAGTCTACACTACACGGGCAGAAAGTGTGAGAGCCCAGGAATCTCACACTTTCTGCCCTTGTAGTGTAATATACTATTAAAATGTTAACAGTTGTCAACACATTATAATAAATCGAAGCACAAAAAATACTCCTTGGCAGAATGGCATATGCCATTTATATAAATATGTTTTCTTCAAGGCACAATTTTATTTGTGGAGCAAACATGCAAAAAGCGATAAATCCATTTTTACATTTTAAGAGGATAGTACCGATTATTACTTATTTTGGTAAACTCTTTTGACTCACAGCATTTTAAGTAAAAACCGAAACAGAGATAACCCAACAGGAGCAACATTCCCTTTTAATAGTTTTTAAATATTTGGGGCACTCTGCTGTACACATTTTTGGCCAATATCTCGGAATAAGTTAAAATGGATTTATCGGCTTTTGCAAGTTTGCTCCATATTTATTAAACGTCTCTTTAAACGCTCGATGAAACAATTATTAAAAGTAGAAAGTGAGGTTATTATCGAAATTTATGATCGGTCGAAAGTTTCGACTTAAAACGCGGTAAATAATGATTTTTTTAGCCTACAACAATAAATTATACAGCGATTAAACATAACATTTTAAAAACATTAGGTATTATGTTTTTATTGAGGTTTTTATTTAGGTACCTTTCCATTTTTAATATCTCAAGTATAAATAAAAAACATTTTGCAAAATAAACTTTATAAAATAACCCTTAATTTATATAGATACACATAAAACATTATTGCACAATAATTATTAAGACAATAATAATTACCAAGTTCAGATAAAATATAAAGAGTAAAACATCTTAATGTATGGTATGGAATATATTGAGTAAAAACATCCTAATAATTATTTTTAAGATGATTTTACTCTATATATTCGATCTGAACTTAGTTTTTTTGCTTTGTTAGGTTAGTACAATTTACGTTAAAACATTAGGTATCATAAATATACTTACTATTAAAACTATTAACAAATTATAATGGCAAACTTTTTAAAAATTTACTAGGTATGGTTAAATTTATTAAAAACCAGAAAAAATACGAATTTTAGGTCAAATTAAATTTACCGGTATACAGTGTCATTCAAATATAGATGACGCGCACCGTTACGCGCAAAATGTGCATATTATGTATTACGTATTACTCAAAGTATTACGTGGTATTACGTAGTATTTCGTTGTATTACTTAACTATCACGTGATATTACGTGATATTACCTGCTATTACGTGCAATTACATAATATTACTTGGTATTACAATAAAGTGTAATAGATTACATCCAATTTGTACGCCTATTACGCCCGTTGTTTACCCCTCGAAAAAAACCATTTTTGAAAAAAAGGAACAAAAATAAGAAAAGGGCTCTAAAATAAAAATTTCAACCAACTTTTACAAAAAAAAATCAATTTAGTAAAAATTTGACAACCAATTTCACCCCAACTTGTAGCTTTTTAGAGAAAAAGGACATAAAAACCGTTATAAAAAAAATATATAAATTCTAATTTTAACAAACTTGCAGAACAAAAAAAAAGTAAAAACGAGAAAGATAATTTTAATTAAGAATTTATTGATAAATATAAAGGTGTAGAGAAAAAATGTCATTGGGCTAATTTATTGAATAAAGTGATCGAAAATCCTATTTAAAAAGTTTGTTGCTCTAAGTTATTTTGATTTTGTTTAATTTAATCAAGAAAATATATCACTCTTATTGAAAACCCCTTAACAATATATATATGTCTTATTTTCTTTGTTATTGTTTTTATAAGATGATATATTTTGTTGCTATTTATATGTTTTTTTTACAGATTTATTGCCGATTTCTGTGGCACACCAGAAGAGAACCTCTTAGATAGTTGTGGTCAACGGCATCAGTGTAAAATTTCTACTTAAAAAAATCAAAATTTATTTTAATTCTCTTACTTAAAAAAAATGCATACTCATGTCCTGACACCGCACCGCGAACAAACGAACAAGCATCCATAATTATTTTCGACGTTGTTTTAACACCAAATTCATTAATTTCACGCGCCGGTGTGGTGTATCACGTAGTCAACCAAAATCCGGCAAAATCAGTGGATCTAGTTTCCGACATGGTGACCCCCGTGTCCCCAAAACGCCTTTTCGGTTTCGGGGTGCCGAATGAGTGAATTATATATGCGTACATGAACTCTGTGAGTGTTGAAACGTAGCTGTGTACTAGGCTGGAATCAAAACCATCGGAATTTTGCAACGTTCATTTCTTTTATCGATTCATCAAATTTCGTGCGATTTATTTAAGGATTCACCTTTGAACTTTCCGCAACACAAACGGTTTTATTCCACCCTAAAAATACGTACGCCTGTGACAGTTCCGTCGCCATTATTATTCGCGACAACTGCTCAAGACTGAAGAGTGAAGTGGATTAAAGTCTTCTCACTTGAAGCATATTTTTTTAATTTTACTTGGTCTTCATTTTTTAAATGTGTACTTTATTATGAATAAAGCATTTTTCCCTTTGACATATCGATTTTAATGATAAGTTATTTTTTCTGTTACAAACTATCCGACGACTTTTTCCAACGCTGGGCGTTGGAAAAAATCGACGCGGACCGTTTGAGTTCTTTGAAAGAGGCTAAAGCATGTCTTTTCTAAATTTTCGGATATTGGGTTTATAGGTGTCCAGGAAATGCCTGTACAATATAATACCACTTTTTACAACTATGTAACTAAATTTACCTCTATGCAAAAGTTGAAAGGTTTTTCGATTTTATTAAATAACTTTTAAAGAAACAAACGTTTTTGCACAATATTTGGTTGTTCGGCCATTTCAAGCGCGCGAAAAGCACGAATTAAAAAACTGTTTTTATAAAAAAAATTCTAGTTAATTTATTATATAATATTTTGGCTTCAAAATTGTCAAAAATATTCTTCTTTTTTAGGCTTTACATTAAATAAAGCAAAACGCAAGAAATATTTTATAAAAGTAGAGATAATTTTAATAATTGAAAGGTGTGGATGGGAAAAAAGATTTATCTTGTCCTGTCCACACCTGCCAATTATTAGAATGATCTCTACTTTTATAAAATATTTCTTTCGGTTTTTATATTTAATGGATAGCCTAATGAAAGAAGAATATATTTGACAATTCTGAAGCCAAAATATATAATAATTTTTTTTTATAAAAACAGTTTTGTGATTTGTCCCGTCCGTATTCTTGAAATGGCCGTATTATCAACTTTTGTATAAAAGTAAATTCAGTTTTATCGCATAATTTCGGTCTCAGGAATATCCCAATTATCACATATTTTACAATTTTACAGCAAATTTTTAATATTGGAGGTTTTCAGCTAATTTAAATTATTTTTTGAAAAAAAATGTGCCACACAATATTTAATATTCGGGGGTTTTTCAACTTTGGTTATTCGGCCATTTCAAGCGCGAAAAGCACGAATTACAAAACTGTTTTTATAAAAGAAATTCTTGTTAATTTATTATATAATATTTTGGCTTCAAAATTGTAAAAAATATTCTTTTATTTGGCTATGCATTAAATAAAAAAACGCAAGAAATCTTTTATAAAAGTGGAGATAATTGTAATAATTGAATAATTGACAAAAAAAATTATTTTGTCTCATTCACACCTGTCAATTATTAGAATTATCTCTACTGTTATAAAATATTTCTTCCTTTTTTTATTTAATGTATAGCCCAATAAAAGAAGAATATATTTGACAATTTTGAAGCCAAAATATATAATAATTTAACTAGAATTTTTTTATAAAAACAGTTTTGTGATTTACCCGTCCGTATGCTTGAAATGGCCGCAATTATCGCAAAATTTCGGTCTCAGGATTATCGTCCTAATCATTACATAAAAGCGTATCTCATATGTTACAATTTTACAGAGAATTTTTAAGATTGAAAGTTTTCAGCTAATTTTAATTATTTTTTGAAAGAAAAAAAGTGCTACCAGGTAGAACATTGAATGTAATACCTAGTGGCAATTTTTTCGCTAAAAAAATAATTTAAATTAGCTAAAAACTTAAAAATGTGATAGTTGGGACTATTTTGTACAGGAATTTCAGGGGCACCTTCTTAACAATACTTGCATTAATCTACAAGCTAATTGAAGACCAATTATTCCACCAAATTATTTTGATAACACAAACTGAACATATCAGTTTAAATCTTGCAGATTATTGTAATTTTACAACTGAAAAACAGCAGGGTATGTAAGAGCTTTTTGTATACACTAAAATCATTAAAAACAAGTACTTAACATGCTTTAGTTTCGCATCTGATTCAGTGGATTTTGTACTCAGGAAAAATTATGATAAAATTTGGCGAATGGTATTTTTTATGAAAGTTTTCTGTAAGGCCTGATTGTGCCTTGCGTGGGTGTTGTATGAACATGTCAAAATGAACTGCAGAACATCTTTTAGCTTCATTAACATTCAGGTAAGTAAATATGCGCGACAAACTAAAAGTTGTTCTTCAGGGTATTTTGTGGGGTAGGTTTAGTTTAATATTAAAAAACTGTGATTTGGAAAGGTTTCGTCGAGTTGCCAAAAAAAACAGATCGTCGATTCCGTTAGCTTTTAAATTGAAATCCGAAGCCTCTCCAATGTATGTAATTACAATTTAACCCATTGTAATTATAAATTCCTGAATGTGTGATATTTTTCATAAGCAATGTTAAAATAATGATGCAATAGATGCGGTCCGATTTGAAGCCACTTCCTTTGAGATTGTGTGCAAGGAATTTCCCGTCAAATTTCGACCGAATTGTTTATTTGTTGTTTTTTACCTAAGCTAGTCTCAGCTCTAATTATTGTTGGAGGAAAATCTAGTGCAGTTATTTTGAACATTCCTTATGTTTACTCAAAGGCTGTATGAACTTTTTTAGTATGTAAGAAGTATGATTGTTATTTTGTATGTAAGCTGTATGTATAGTTCTCATTTTTTATATGATAGCTCTTAAGTGTTTCTAAGAGGCCTAAATTATTTTTTATTCTTCCCACTTTTATACTAAACAAATTACATTATTAAACTAAAATTTTAGTTAAAATCAGTTTTGCACAACTCTACACCTTTTATTTGAAATTTTATGATAATGTTTGAATATTTTGCGTATACAAAAAATAAGAATAATTTTCGTCGCTAAAGCTTGATTGTAATATTTTTATCGCATTTTACAAATTTTACAAGTAAATAATTGTTTTTAAAGTCCATAAACAAGTATTAATTAACTTTATTTTTGTATTTCTATGTACGCCATTATTAAAAACAATTATCTAAAATAAAATTGAGCTTGACTTATTCTATTCTTTGTTATTGTTGTATGCGCAACAAATAAGGCAACTTCAGATAGAAACATGAGTAAGAATGTTAAACTTTGTTGTTTGAATGTTATTTTGGTTGTGCCATGTTAGTTTGACTGTTATATATTGTACCCCCTTAAAGTTTGCCAATGTTGAACACAGAATAAAGTGAATGTTCTGAAGACTGAATATTTAATGATCCAAGCTCAAGTGCCGCATGAAAGTATTCCGGCGTATTCCAAAAAAATATGTTTCTGTTCAACATTGGTACATAAAACTTTTTTATTTTTATTGTTACCATGTCTAGGGTGCCCATTGACCAATTTATTCGAAATTGTATTGCCTTTTTAGTTCTCTATTCCCCTTTTGGTTAGTCTTCTGCACACTTTTTTGTTTATATTTCACTCGATAAATTCCTTCCGCCTTAGTGGCGGGATATTTTGTAGTTCATTTTAAAAATAAATATTTCATTTAACATACTCTTTGTTTCATTTTATACTTTCCTATATAGGCCAGTAAAGGCGTATGTTTAGTAGACTGGGCCAAAAAAATAGACTTTTTTTTATCGTAAAGTATATCGAAAATATTGTTTGTGGTGACAAAAAAAATATTCTGAAATATTAGTAAGAGGTCTATCATAGCAATTTTAGATTTTTTTCCTGAGCTAGTTTTTGTCTCAGAACTCCAAAACCATTGAGTTTAACAAAATTGACTTAATAATATTTTTTAAAGAAAATTGAATGCTTTACAAAAAAACAAGAATTTCGTTTTGACTTGATTGAAACATGCATTTAGCAATTGACTAACCTGGAATAACTTTTCATTTAGCCAAAAATGTTAAGAGACTTTTTTTGTAAAGCATTTGATTCCCCATAAGAATATCGTTTTTTTACCGGGTACTGATTTTTACAGGAATTTCAAATTGGCATGATTTTAAGGAAACGGTTGATCTGACGGAAAATTTCATTTAAACCTTATTTTTAGAGCATTCAATTTCCTTAAAAAAATATCTATATTATTTTGTTCAATGGTTTGGGAGTTCTGAGACAAAAACTCGCTCAGGAAAAAAAATTTTTAATTGCGATGATAGACCACCTAATATTAATATTATGGACTCAAACTTTCACAATAATTTTTTTGTCTCTCCAAATAATATTTTTGATATACTTTACAAAAAAATTTTTTTTAGACCAGTCTAATGTTTAGTCAACAGGTTTTTAAAATTTCCGAAAAAATTGAGCTGGCGGAAAAAAAAACGGTTTTTTTCAAAAAAAAGGGGAAAAATTGATAAATTTTCAGAAAAATTGGCTTTTGCATTTTTTTCATTTTTTCAAAGGGTAATACGAAAAAACGTAAGTCAATTTTTCCGACTATTTCCCTCGTCTTAATTTCCACCAATCACAAACGCGCAATTTTGAAATACAAATGGTTTCTAGGTGAAAAAACTGTGTGACAGCACCTGTCAGCAGTTTTTTCGAGTTTACCCGCGGCAAAACTTGACAGCTGTTGTCACCAAAAATTGCAATTTATATTTTAATTGTTAACTGTTACTCATGAAATAGTCTTGTCAAATACCATTCGGGCATCTAATTTTTCCTGTGAAAAAAATCGAAAAAACACAATGCTAAGTAATATTTTTTAACAAAATGCATTCGTGCAGGTGCAAAAATCCTCCTCTTCGACTCGGATTTTTGTTGCCACCAGCACTCATGCTTTTTGTTAAAATATTACTTAGCAACGTGTTTTTTCGATTCTTTTCCTAAAAATTAAATGCCCTTATGATATTACTTACGATAAATTTACAAATTTTTAAGGATACTATCTGTACACTGATATTGAGAAAAAAAAATGTTCCGGTTTTCTTTTTCGACACTTTAAAACCCTACTGTTGACCCAATAGTGTAATACCGATTCAAATTTTGTTTTTTAATTAAAAGAGCATACATTCGGTGGTATTCAGATTGATCCAAACAACCTTAAAAAACCTAATTTTTTATTTTAATAACTTACGAACCGTTTATTGCAAAAGTATTGGGTTTCATATATAAAATCTTACACTTGTACTGGCCTAATATTCCAGTCCTTGAAAGGCCTCTAGCGGCTAAACGAAGCAACTTTGGATACATATAGGTGAGTTGGGTTAAATGGACATATTTTGGTCAAAAAATGTCTGGGCTCAGTGGAACACGTCTATTTTGGTCGAGAAATAACTATTAATACAATTTTGACAGAAAAAGTGTGATATAACCACGATTTTCAAAATGAATTGCTATCGGACCCAATTGATTTGATTATATTAATCCCATTATGACCTGAGTATGGCTTCAGGATTTAAAAACTCGATACTCGTACGCGCTTTGACAGTGGACGCCATGGATTTAATTGAAGAAGATGAAAAAAGTCATGTAAGTAACAAATTGCGAAATAAACTTTTTACAATTTTTCCCATAGGATAACTTAGACTTGGACGACCTCTTGCCTGTAATAGGCGAGTTTGGCCGATACCAAAAAATGATGTTGTGGTTTGTTTGTTTACCTGCGTGTTTCCCCTGCGGTTTTGGCGCTTTTAATCAATTGTTTATGACCAATGTTCCCGACCATTGGTGTAGAGTTCCCGAATTGTCCAACTTCACAAATGAAGAACGAAAGGAAGTTGCCATACCGAAAAATAACGAAACTTTCCAAAGGTGTCACAGATACAATGTGGACTGGAACCAAATTTTAAAGGATAACGGTGGAGATTTAGAAAATATAATAGTTAACACTTCTTGGCCCATAGAAAGTTGTGGAGACGGCTATGAGTATGATACCAGTGTTATAACATCAAGTGTTGTGATGGATGTAAGTTTGTTGTTGGAAAATTCATTATTCAGCAGTAAATTATTTTTTTTAGTTTGATTTGGTTTGTGATAAAGACATATACTCGACTCTGGGTCTAGCTGCCCTAAATCTGGGTGGTCCAGTGGGTGTATATTTTTTTGGTTGTCTTAACGATAGAATTGGTCGTAAAAAAACGTTTTTTCTTTGTCTTACAACGCTTCTTACTGGAGGAATTCTTACTGCCTTGGCAAAGGATTTTTGGTGGTGGGCTGGTAGTAGAATCATTGTTGGACTAACTATACCAGCTATATATCAAATACCCTTTATAATTTGTAAGTTTTTAACACTAATTAAAAATGTATAGAATATACCATATAAAATCGACCAGGCAAAAAGTTTAGTTCACCTGTACAGTACTTTGGTCGGTTAACAGATATGAGTGAGGCAGTCGCGAAACTCTTTTTAACTGAGGCTCTATCAGAAAGGGAAATAAGTATTAAGCCTAAGAGGTCCAGAAACGAATGCGCATGTTAATTTTGTTTGGAAATAACAAATTTTTATTTGAATTTATAGTTCGGTTTTATATTTATTGCCAGAGATTCCCCACACTTTAAAACCTAATAAACATTCAAATTTAATTAAGAGTTTGTATTATTAAAAATGCATTAATGTTTGGTATCAAATTTAAAAAAAGTGGATTTCTTTTATGACTTTTGTAAAAAAAATAGTTTTGACATAAAGAAGGGTTTTTCAATTTTTGAAAGCTAAAAACCAGCATTGGCAAAAAATAATTAGTATTCTGAATTTGATTTTGAATCGAAATATGTAAAAATGCATAGGGTGTTTTATTAAAAAAATAAAAAGTTAAGACCGTTTCCGGTGAAACCGGAAGTGACAAAAATATGTTAAATATGTCAAAAAGTTCTAAATTACACTTTATAAAGGTCACCCCAGTTCCATGACCCCAGATAAAATACCGAATTTTTGCGATGAACCACGAATTTACTAGAAAATGGCATTTTCAATAAAAAAATAATTTAGAATTTAACTCGGGACTTTTGTTAAAAGTTGCTCATATTATCAATGAAAAGATCCGGCTCCAAGGACCATGAAAAGAATCGGATCTTAATTGTGATCCCGGATCTTTGTAATCACTAGGGGAGCGCAGCCTCAAGGTCCAGTTAAGGCTTGGAGACTAGTGGTTATTGTTTAATTTTAAGATTAAACAATCAACTTTAAACGAAAAAAATATGAAGTAAAAAAATGGCAATGTAAATTTTGACCTTTTTTTGAAAAAACAATTTAAAAAAAATTAATCAATTCACTTAAATTGTTATATTTTTTTTTGTATATAGTAAACATTTACCCAAAATTTAAAAAAAAAATTGTAACGATCGAAACATTTTGGGCCAAGTCATCGCATTTTCAAGAAAAAATGTCACTCGTAAAAAGAGAAAAATGGATGTTTTTTCAAAAATTTCCTACAGGTAAACGAAACAAATTTAAGCAAAAAGAAAACATTCGCGTCTCATCGATTTCGGTAGAGAAACTGTAAAAAAAAAATTGGTTGAAAAATAATTTTGCCTGGTCAATTTGAGATGGAAAGGCCCTGTACTATAGTTATAATTATTTTGTAGCTTTAGAACTTGTTGGTCCAAACTACAGATCCTTTGTAACTGTATTAACTTGCATGTTCTACACGATTGGCCTGATGATGTTGGCTGGAATAACTTACCTCATCCGCGATTGGGTCTACTTATCTTACGCGACATCTACCCCGTTTATTCTCTACTACTTCTACTGGTTTTACTTGCCGGAAAGTCCCAGATGGCTGTTGGCCAAAGGGAAATTCGAGGAGGCTTCGAAAATACTGGAGACCCTTGCGAGAACTAACAGACAAGAGTTGCCATCGAATTTTAAACAGCAACTGAGGCAGAAAATAATGCACAAAAGAACATTTAGCGAAGAAAAAGCATTTGAGAAAAATCCAGGAATAAGTGATTTGTGTGGTACACCCAATATGAGGCTTAAAACTTCCTTAATTACTTTAAATTGGTTCGCGAACGAAATGGTTTACGTGGGGTTGAGTTACTATGGGCCTTCATTGGGAAGTAATGAGTACCTGAGTTTTTTGTTGTCTTCGGCAGTGGAAATTCCGAGTTACTTTGTTTGTTGGTTGATTATGGACAGATGGGGAAGGAGATGGCCACTTTGTTTATGCATGATTATTAGTGGGTGTAGTTGCATTGCTACTGTCATGATTCCATCTGGTAACCTAATTTTTAACCATAGATTAAAGAGTTAGGAAGGTGGAGAAAGTTTTGCTCTCCATCCTCCCACCTCTTTAATCTTTAACAAATTGTATTGTTACAGAGGACGTGGTCACAACTTTAATACTATTTTTGGTTTCAAAATCAGCAATTTCAGCATCATTTTTAATTATATACCCTTTTGCTGGAGAACTGTACCCAACTCAGTTGAGAGGTATAGGTATTGGCACCTCAGCTTATATCGGTGGAATAGGACTTATTATTATCCCGTTTATCACATATTTGGTAATCATCATCTACTGAAAACTACAAACAACATTAAAATGTTTTATTACCCAGCAAAAACAACCATAAGGTCCTATAATGGCCCTTTATAAACCTGCCCTTAATGAACTAAAGGCTCTATAAAGGCTAACTCTAATGGAACTGTACATTAGGGTGTCCGTTATTTACCAATTTTTTTGTTTTGCAGCGCCCCCTAAATTTTTAGTTTATGACCTAAAAAAATTATCAGACTCATATAAGCCCTTAATATTCATATTAAACCTTGCCACAACTCGTTTTATAAACTTATCTTATATACTATATAATATTATATAAAAGATGCCACACAATATGGGTGGTACGTAGAAAAAAAGTATTTTTTAGTACCTACATAACCACACTTTTAAATTTTTTGGGACACTTCAAATAAAAAAGTTAAAGAGGGGCGACATTATAGGGGATCACCCTGTACCTACTTACTTAAGTAATTAGGTAATTACCTATTTAAATTTAACAACGATTAGGTATTATTATTTTTTATGTGGTATAAGACACTATATAGTGTCTTATTAATATATTAAAACTATAGGAATTACACTGGGCGTCATTTTTAAAATATATATATATGGCGTTAACCAAAGAATAATTAAGGGTTTATGGAAGTTTTATATACAGAAAACATTTGGCACTTGGTTTTTTTAAAGTCCCATTAACTTGATAGGTACTGAAAATTGCCATATATGGGTCTTTTATAGTAAGATATACAAATATTAGACTGAAAAGGCCCATTGCAAGACCTTATCACGACAGCCTTTTATCAAAATTAATATTTTTATTAAAACATTTCTGTAAATGCCATTATTAAGCCTACTCTCAAGGTAATGGGCCATTACATAATCAGACTTATGTGTTTGCTGGGAAGTAGCAATCTACTTTACTAAAATTATTTTTTTAGGGGTCAGAAGTGTTAATTTTACCGTTAATTATAATGGGTGTCGTTTCTGTAATAGGCGGTTTGTCAGGTTTAAGACTACCTGAGACCCTTCACCACCGTTTGCCCCAAACGGTGGAAGAAGGGGAAGAATTCGGTAAAAACTTCACTGTCGCTGACTGCCTAAGATGTGTTCCAATAAAGTAAATCACAAAAATAAAAACCGCAAAAAACTTATTACAACTTTTTCAGGCCTCAATATTCTACAGCAGGTTCCTATGAAGACCTAGAAATGGCCCAAGTTTCAATCAAACCGGACGACACAGAGGAAACTCCGTTAGATTTCAATAAAAAACGCCTTTCTGTTCGCAGATTGGTCCGTCAACAAAGCATGATGGATACACAAAAAAATCCTGATGGTACCATGAATATGACCTACTGGTTTTAATTTTTCAATATGTATTTTTTTGTAATTAAACTGCGATTTTTAAGATTTTGTTTTATTAATAAACCCCTTCGAGAAAAACATTGACGCCGCCCATGGTTTGATAACATTCCCATAAACTACGACAATGGTATTCAAAGCCAACCTTGCAATTGTTGTTTGCAAATAATCTGATTTAAAACAAAGCGTAGTTTTCATTACAAATCTATTTTGAAGTAGTATATTTGGTGCGATAATACAATATTTTTGTAAACACAACCGGTACCGGTTTATTGAGGTAGGTAACGTATAAATACAATAATATAATCAAATGTAAGTGTGTAAAACCAACAAACAACATATATTTACCATAACAAATAATTAATAAATTAAAGCTACCGAATGCATATTTAAAAATCCTTGCACTTATCTAGGGACTTTTTGGTTGGTTGCACTGAAATTACAGCAAGTTATCTGTCAAAAGTGCATATAGTGGACGTGTTACGTCACTAGAGAAAATTGTTTATTTTTAACATAAAAAATAGAGTTTAACTAGTTTAGTGTTGTTGTTTAGTTGAAAAGAAAATCCTGATGATCAGGTAAATACTATTAAAGTTTTATTGGAACTGTGTAAAATTCGGTAAAATTGCACTAAACAGCTTTTTTCGTTGACCTTAGCCCAACCCCTGTTAAATTAACTGTTTAAACAAATTTAATGCTAATTGGAACTAAATTGTTTATGTTTTCTATTGTTTAGTAGTATACTAAGAATGTATAGTATAAAATTAGTGGCTTTAAGGAGGAGTATTGCTCCGTTTTTATTGCGTATTTACTTGGTTACAGCTTTCAAAATTTAATGCTTTGTTGTTATCAAATTTTGATGAGATTATTTATTTTTGTTGAGATACATCCATAGACAAGGGATACAAGTATCATACAACTAAAACATGTTTATTCTTGAACTGCTTTGCACAAGTTTATCATGTTTATCTAAAAATTTCTGAATATTTTATATGAAATTTGCCTTCATTGTCATACCTATTTCTTTATCAACTTGTGAGTCAACAAATTGAAAAAATCATAATATTATTAGTGCTTATCAAATTTTACTTACTTAAATAAAAATAAAATAAACATTTAAAAAATAATTGTAGTGACAGCTCAAAATACAAACAAAAATGATTGTTTGATATTTTTAGAGATAAAAATGAGTTATGATGGGTACTATTTGGATCGTAACTTAAAGAAACCATCTGAAAGTGGTCCAGCTTTAGATTTGATTAGAGGTTTAGAAAATAGAAGATTATTTCACAATGCCAAAGATAAAGAGAACCTGGAACTTTATGCTGAACAAGAGTTTGTTCGGAAAACAAAATATGCTGAAATGGTACTAGCATAGCCTCATAATATAACCAAACATAACCAATTTTCATTTTGTAGAAATGTGAGCTACCTGGTACTCCCAGATCATCTTTTTTGATGGTGTTTAGCCCAGATGGTACCAAAATTGCTTCAACACATGGCAATCACAATATTTATGTCTCAGACAGTCGTAGTGGCAAAACAATAAAAACTTTGGTGGGCCATCCAAGAACGCCATGGTGCATTGCTTTCCACCCCACATCCAATCAGATTGTAGCATCTGGGTGCCTGGGTGGACAAGTTCGAATCTGGGATTTAAGTGTAAGTTAAATTTTCCATAGCTATTAAAGTAATTATTTATTTTTATATTTTTCTCAATTTTATATGCTAAAAAAAAATTATACAAAAGGAATTTTAATGGATTTAATTGTAAATTATTGAGTTAAAAAAAAAACTGTCCTAAAATCTTTTATATTTATATTAATAATGGTCATAAGCAGTTGCAACTAATGCCAGGTAAAATCAATTTTATAATTTTGTATTTTATTTCCATTATAATTGTTCAATTGAATTAAAATTTAATTTTTATTGCTTACTTAATATGCTACTATTTTAGTAAATTTTAGAAGGTTGGTGGCAATTTTGTTAATGATAATGAAAATAATTTAAATATGTAGAATCATAATTCAAAAATATATTTTTATTTAAATTACTGTCTATGGTAATGTCAAATCACAATTTCCAATTGTATTTTCTGTTTCCTGAAAAAAAATTCTCAGTGGTCAAATAAAATCGATTTGTTAATTTTTAAATTTATTTTCAAAATAATTGTTAATACTTATAGTATACAGGGTGTATGTAAAATGGCATACTAACAGTATGTCACACTTTCTATTAGGTATAAAAAAATACAATTAGTAGTTTTTGAGTTATAATGGTTGAAAAATTGAATTTTATTTTTGTTATTTTCATGTTTTTCAATTTATTTATATAAAAGTGTTTTTTTAATAATAACTAAGTTTTAATGATTAAAGTTTAGATTTTTTTGACAAAACTGTCAAAAAATACGTCCATTAACAACTGTTTATTTTGTTTTCAAACCAGTTATATCACACAGTCCAGGGGCTCAGGTTAAAAATTTATTTAAAAATCTTAAACTTTATAGCTTTTTCTCTTTGATATCTTGTCCTACAACGAGGGGGAAACCACCTTCAAAAAATATGTACACGTATTGCGGAAATCCCATGATTTCAGAATGATTACGGTGATTTCGGAGAATTCTTTATAAATTGGAGGATTGCGACCGAATCCCATGATTTCGGAGAATTCTTTATAAACTGTGGCAATTTCGGAGGATTGCGACCTGAAATTAGTAATTGCAGGACTGCAATGGAATTGTGTCGACTGAGACGATTTTCGTTGAATTATTGGTTTGAATTGTAGACATGATTGCTAGCTTGATTGCGATAGAGAAACGAGAAAAGAAGAGGTCCTTCTTTTCTCGTCTCGTATAGGGAGAGAAAATGGGTCCTCGTCTCGACGAGAATACTCTTCTCTCGAGAGTGCCTCGTCTCGTTTCTCTCGTGGTAAAAGTACCTACACAAAAAAAATTGGGATGAAATAGGTACGAAACTTTTTTCTGTAGAAATTTGAACACGAAATAAAAAAATTGTGTTTGCCAAGATTACACGGGTAGAGTAAAACTTTTTAGGCCGAAAGTGCACGTTACTACTGCGCGTAGATGCAACCATCTAGTAACTACTGCGCATAGGTACGGTCATCTGGTAACTACTGCGCATAGGTACAGTTATCTAGTAACTATTGCGCATAGGTACGATCATCCAGTAACCACTGTGCATAGATCCAACCATCTGGTACCTACTGCGCATAGACATCTGCCATTTTGAAACTGCAATTTTGTTTAAAAAAAGTTTATATAAAATTCATAATCATCTACCCCAAAAATATCTTTACAAAATTTCATCCAAATCTAAATACTATTTCTGTACACTTGTTAAAAAAATAAATTATATTTTTAGGGAGGGAGTGAAGTATGGACAACCAGTAACAATTCTGTTATTGCCTCAATTGCTTTTCACCCAAACGATAGAGTTTTGGTTATAGCAACATTCAATGAAGTTTATTTTTGGGATTGGAGCAAGCCTGAGCCTTTTGTGCAATGCTCCACAAACAACCCAAAAGAAAAGGTTAACTTTTTACTAAAACAACTTTTAGGCTGTATAATACCGAGTTGTACCCTTTAGAAAGCATTTTTACAATTTTTAGGTCCGTTACGTGGCGTTCGACAACCTGGGCCACAAGCTGATCACCGGGATAGCGAACAGCCCGCAGACGCGGTGGGAGCGCGTGCGGGCCCCGGTTCCCGTGCCGAGGCAGGCCGAGCGGTGCGCGAGCCCGTACAGGCGGCGCATCACGCCGCGCGTCGTCAACGTGTCGATACGCGTGCGGGACGGCGCGCAGCAGACGTCGCCCCAGGCGGCCGCCGCCCCCGATCTCGCTCTGCTGCGCCGGGGGTTCTCGAGCGTGCCCGAACGCGAGCGCAGGATCACGGTGTGCTACAGGAACCTGGTGAAGGAGTACGAGCAGCTGGTGCAGCGGTATCTGCAGCTGTACAGGCCCAGGACTATGGTGAGTCACTACCAGCAGTGTTTTGGTTATTATTAATGCTTAAAATACCAATTTTCATTTCTATTTTTGAAGTGAAAATGCTTTTCGGGCAGGGTTAATCGGAACTTGGCGTTGGAAGATGAAAGGAAAAGCGCGCGCACATGCATGTGTCGTTTGGCTATGTTCTAACAAGATACAGTAATTAGTTACCTTAAAAAGTATCAAAATGCTATTAAATTCAATTTTTTTTTTATTAAAAATGCGTTTAACATGTAGATTTAGTAGATTCAACGGCAGTAGTTTTATTAAAAAATATATGATCACACTTGTGAAAAAAACCTGTTTTTTCCGTTTTTCCATGCCAAAATTGTCATTTTTTGGAAAAAAATAATTTTTTTTCGGAAATATACACATTTAGAAACAAGCGGCAATCATTATTATCATTTTAAAAAAATATCCTAAAAAAAACTAAACATTAAATTAAATTAATTTAAGAAAATAGACGTGAACGTTAAATATACTGTCGGTTGGGTCTTTTTGCAAAAAAGGAGCCCATTGAAAATATCCATTTAAAAAAGAATGAATTATTTATAAAGTTTAATAACAAAATTATAATTTTATAAATAGAAGTCACAGCACTGAATAGGTTTTTTTGCGACCCAGTAGAATATTCTTACCGAATTGAAATAAAAGGAATAATTATTATACATAATATTATGATTATAATCAGCGTCGAAAATTCACTTTTTTCTCGATATCAATGTACGGATAGTATCCGTAAAAATTTGAAAATTCTCAGAAAAATTGACTTTTTCATTTTTTCGTATTACCCCCGTAAAAAACACTCCTGGTAAACTCAAAATTCTTAACTAGTTACAGTTATATTTACTACATAGATTTGGATAAAAAACTAGTTACACACAAAGATAATCTTTGGTTACATAAAAAGTATCTACTTACTTGTAATTTACTGCGTATTACAATATTTTAACAAAATTCGCACAGTAATTTAAAACTAAAAAAATGTGGGAAAAATGTTCACAATTAAAAAAAAACATGCCAAAATTGTAAAAAAAAGGCGGTGAACGGTTAATAAGGAATACACAATCCACACAACAACTTTTGTTCTATCTTGTTTCGCGCATACTAAAAATTACGAAGTTAGGCAACCCACTACACAGACTCTAACGGCGGCCATTTTAATGGTCTTTACAAATGTCAATTTTAAGGTTAATTTACCATAATCCATAAATTAACCTTAAAATTAAAATTTCACAGTTTGATGAAAGCCCTGATAGAATAAGGTTAATTTAATAAACACAACGTTTAGAACGATTATTAATTAATATGTATAAACACCCCAAACCCGAAGCACAATGGATTGTGACTATCTACAACTTCAATGCTGTTTTTGTATATAAATACGAAAAAAAAACGATTTTGTGGCAAATTGTTCTTGCCTCACAATAATCCCTTTGCATGGCACCCTACTATTGCTTGTTCGTAAATTTTTGGTTACCAAAAACTGAATAAATCTTTTAAAAATCGTCATTTTGCAAGCATATATGATATTTAACGCGTATGTCTAAAGAAGTTAAAAACAATCCAAAACGGTTTTTCAAAAACGAAAATTCGTGTGTTCACCATAAAAACTGGAATATAATTTTGTTAAAACATTTAAATAATTAAAATGTTCATAAGTTTTAAACAATCCGGCTATTACTGATAAATCTTGGATTTTAATTGAAATCATGTAGGACATTCTTAATATTGATATTTGATGATTTCAATTAAAATCCACAGCCAATGGTGGTCCAAGATTTGTCAGTAATAGCCGGATTGTTTAAAACTTATCATAATTGTAATTATTTAAATGTTTTAACAAAGTTATATTTTTTTGTACAGATCGATCGAGGTACAGATCCAATGGAAAACAGCTCGAGCATTACAAACAGCGGCACTCAAACCCCTGAAGCGCCCTCCACCTCGCGGCAAACCGAACCCTCAACCTCGACAAGCACCGAAACCCAACCGTCAACCGGTAGCCAACAGCAGCCGTCATCTTCTAGCGGATCTAGCAGATCGCACGTGTGCGACTGTCAGCAAGAGCCCGCGCTTAACACCTCGCAAAGTCTGATCTCGCCCAGCAAAATTTTCTCCGTGATGAGAAAATCTCCGGGGTTCATCCGGTCCACGCAGACCGTAGAGTCGCGCAAGCACAAAGCGGACGACAGCAGCGACAGCAGGAGGGAGAAGAGGGCGAGACGGCTGGCTGACAACAACAGCCCCGCGAGCAGCTGCGACAGCATCATCACGCACGCGTCGGAATCGAACCCGCAGCATCCGGAAGCCGAAGCTAACGCTGCGAATAGTTCCACGGAAATCAGCACGCAGACTGCTCGGGAAGTGCCGCTGGAAGTGCCGTCGACTTCGCGAGAATCTCTACCTGGCACTAGCGGTGCCACGAGCGCAGCCAACGATTCCAACGTCGACGATTTATTGTTGAACATAAGGAGGACTGCAGAGGAGGAGGTTAGAAATAGGATTTTGCCGATTATTAGATCGGTGCCAGAGAATGACAGACCTGAACTAATAAGGTAAGATTTTAATATATATTGTGTTATGTAATTAATGTAATATATTAAAATACTTTTTGACATAAGGTGTAACGGAAAAATATTTTTAAAATAGTTTTTTATATTTTTTGTGATACGCCACTAATTACAGACTTGTGTTTAGTGTTGCCACTGTTAGTACTTTTGTACTAGATCTAATCCTAAAATATGTGGCTTAAACAGAATTAAAACCAAAATATTGTTTAATCATTTTGGCATCAATGCAAACAACTGACTGACATGTCAGTTACATGTTAGTAAAATTGCCCACAGATTGCAGCATCAAAAATGTAGTCACACTGGGTGACAGTATACTTTATACTGTGACGGACTTTGTACTGTGACTGAGTGTTTTGCAACCTTTTTTATTTCTGTCACAGGCTTCTTTTTTAAGGGCTTTTTTATGTCTCACAGCCAGCATTGCACACTGCTACTGCAGTTTTTTAGGAGTCTTCGAGCAGGACTGCAAACATAAATGCCTTTAGTTGTCAGTGAAATAGTTTATTTTTTAAGATACGTTTTTTTTTTAAATATATGTGTTATTTTTACACTGCTACTGCAGTTTTTTAGGAGTCTTCGAGCAGGACTGCAAACATAAATGCCTTTAGTTGTCAGTGAAATAGTTTATTTTTTAAGATACGTTTTTTTTTTAAATATATGTGTTATTTTATTTAATTAAAAGTGTCATACGAATATTCGTAACACAAAACCAAATATATTAATTATTGGTGCTGCCATCTCTGGCCAATTTAGTACAATCTAGTATGAAATAAAATAAACGAGTGGCAACACTGCTTGTGTTCTGTAAGTACATGGATAAAGTCCATGTCTGACGGTGCAACTTCTCGCGGCGATTTTGTTGCGGCGACTAGGTCGCCGCGATTTTTTGGTGGTCACACGATGCAACTAATCAGCTGCTCTAACCTGTCTCAAAATAGAACATGTTCTATTTTCATGCAATAAAATCGCCGCGACTTAGTAACTTTTTTAGGGATTTACGAATTTTCACTAAATTTTTTGGTTGGTACTCAATATTTATCAGCTATCAGTGTTTTTATTTTTACACCACAAAATACTTATAACTTTAAAAGAAAAACAAAATCGATTTGAATAAACATTAAATTTGTTTAGGTATTTTTATTTTTCAACTAAGTAATTTTCGGTTATGTTGGCAATCCTAGTAGAAAATAACGTCAGTTTGGTTGCACCGTGTGAACACCCTAGAGGCGAGAAAGTCGCTGCAACTAGTCGCCGCAACAAAGTCGCCGCGAGAAATTGCACCGTCAGACATGGACTTAACAACCAACAAAGTGGCTGCGCGTTGCTAGTAAAAAATTGCAACAAAAAATTTTTCTTGCAAAAAATAAATAAAAACTAAATAAATATAAAAGTTTTAAGCCTTTAAAGCGCTAATACCCTTCTGTATTTATTTACTCATCCAGCTATTAGTAAAATTAGAAAATTTAGTACCTATTTTAAAAACCACAACATTAATTTTTTCATTGTTTTTTTTATTTCTGTTTACTCGGATGAAATTAGGATAAGTTTACAGGTTAAACTTTAAACATTCAATTTGTGTAGCTAAATCCCTTAGTTACACTATTTACGATATTTACAATTTGAGCACAACCTAAAATTTGAAAGAAATGCACTATATTCTGTCATAAAAGTTGCCAGATTTTGTTTGAATTTACCTTCATTACAAAAATGACATAATATACAATTAATAAAAAGCCAAATTAACAATTTGCATTGTTGATTTTGTCATTTTTGTAATGAAGCTAAATTTCTACAAAATCTGGCAACTTTTTTTGACAGAATCTGTTGTTACCAACCATAACATAATAAATTAAATTAAGCAACCAGATTAGCCTAAAGTTCCTAGTCGATCAGTGGCCTACTTTTTAGTAGGATAAAGCTTATTAAAAATTAGAAAAAAAAAGTTTTATATGCTTTTTTATGAAACCCTAAGGAACTTAACATTTAGTAATATTTTACAAGAAAGGCACTTTATTTTAAAGATTGTATGACATTTGACGACTGTCAATTAACTTCAGCCCGTGACTAAAAACCTAAAAAATAAATTAATAGTTTAAAAAGTAAAGTAACACGTTTTTAACTATTAATTTTATTGTTAGATTGTTTGAGAACAGTCGCGAAAACTGCCGGCTAAGGTTCCGGCAGATGTACTCGACGATATGCAAAAAGCCGAAACGTTGGCTGCACCCGCCCACCAACACCTCGTCGGAGAACAACAGCAGCTCGGACGAGGCCGAAGAAACGGGCGTCGCCTCTCCCGCGGTGCACTTCCAAAGGAGAGCGCAGACGGCGCCGACGAACGCCTCGCAGCCCGCCGAAAGGCCGCGCGCCGCCCCCGCACCGAGCGGCAGCACGTCGGCCTTGCGGAACTACAACACGGAGCTGGAGCAGCTGCTGACGCGGCTGCTGACCGAGATCGAGAGCAGCGAGGGCAGGGAGGCGAGGGAGTCCAACGGGGGAACGGCCACGTCGTCCTTTAGGACTGCCGCTACAACCACCACCGCGAGTTCCGAGACTGAAAACAGGTTTAGTACCAGGAGTACCAACACTGTTCCTTCCATGGTGGCGGTCACAACAACCGAAGGTAATTAATTTATTATCCAAATTTGGTGTTTCCCCCTAAAACTAAATGGTAAATAATTAGGTCCTAAAAATTAAAATTAATGTAAAATAACGGACCTAATTTTAATTTTTAGGACCTAATTTTTACCACCTAAATTTTTATTTTTAACAAACAAACCAAATTTTCAAATTTTAATTTTTAATATTGGGGTTATTTTTGTTGTACTGTAAATCGCGAACAGCGACGCGAATGTGACATTCCTGTGCAATGTTGCCAGGTCTCATGCTATTGCATTAGATCTCAAGTTTTTCCAATCAACCTCGTTTTATCAAAAAAACTCATTTTTTTCCACAAATTCTAGCAAATTTAATTAAAAAGTATTTTTGAAAACATTTACATTTACAAAAAAACATTTTGAATTTTCCGCCGCGTGGTATTATAACATTTTTAGTGATGTAAAAAATGTTTGTTTTCTTTTCTTTAAATTTTTTTTTACCAAAAAAATAAAACATTAATAATTTAAAAAGGGTTGGATTTTTTGTTTATTACGAAAAAAATAATCAAAATAATTTTTGACAAAGACAATTTGGAGTGTCTAAAAAAGCGCACAACAAAGCAAACTACAGCGTCTTGGAAAAAATTGATTGTTTTTTGTACAACATAAACATTTTAAAAAAGTAGCAATCAATATCTTAACATTATTTTAATTTAAAAAAAATCACAGAAAAAAATAAAATAAAATTTTATTAAACTGATTTAAGAAAATAAAAAAGGAGTCCATTAAAAATATCCAAATATTAAATAATGAACTAAAGTTAAAATTATAATTTTATTAATCAAAGTGTCAAATAAATCAAAAGTTTGTATGTTAACACTGTATGTTAACTTAGCAGCACCGAATATGTTTTTTTGCGTCCCGCATTACCCTTTGAATAAAATAAAAAAAAGTCAATTTTTCCGAAAATTTTAAAACCTCAGTCAGATATTTTTAAATGACAAAATCTTGTTCAATAAAATTTTATACAATAATAATTTTATTACCTAGAAGTTGGTTTCCAGTAAAACTTTCTCACCTAAAACAAGAAATAAGTTTACATGCTTATATACCTATTTTTATAAATTTTGCAATCTTTAATCCCATCTCTAGTGAAATGGAAACTGACTTGTTGAGATGTATATTTTGTCCAATTTTAAATGTAGACTAATATGATTAAAAACCTGTTGAGTTGCCATTTTATTCACAAAGGATGTGTAAACATCTTGGCCGGTGCGAGTTTAGGAAATATGGGGTGGTGGTTTTGATGGAAAATAATTAAATTTCTATTACAAAATAATAAAAAACATTATATCGCGTTCTCTTTAGAATTTATTTCTTCTATTCTTGTTATTATTGGTTTGGGTCTTTCCAAAAATTTCCAAAATGTTGACTTAAACGTTTTCTTCTCGTCATTTGATACCTATATCAAGGAGGTTGTGAAGAAATAGATTGATTTATTTATATTTCTCTCTTACTTATGCACAGCCACCAATTTTGTCCGCACTCTCGCTTATAACGATTTTCTGTAACGTCACACGAAGACACTGACGCTTCTAAATTTTATCCACATCACTCCATTTCCCAGGAAGTTCGTACCGCAGTCACAGTATGTTTACACATCATTTTTTTTTAATTGTAACATCCCTTTTAGCTTCAGTGAGTCCGATGCGCCCTCCATCCGCACTGCACGACTCATCTTTGGACGCTCTCCTTTCCGACGCGCCCACAACAACTGTAGGATCATCTAACAGTCGTAACACGTTTCCTACCAGTTCCCGTCTTTTGCATTTTTTCGAGTCGCTTAGAAACGATCTGGGTACGGAAGGTACTACTACTACGACGCCGTCTCCCACAGTACCACCGACGACCACAGCCCCGGAAAATATCACACTACCACCTGTTACTCTCGGTATAGGTAGTTCCAGCACCAGAACGACCAGCTCGCCTATATACACGTCGAACTCGAGGCGGAGGTTTTTTTCTAATCGCGTATCGGCGTTTATGCCGACCAGGGTGAACTACACGGCGTCTCGCTTGCGGCGGTCGAACCATTTGTTTACAAGAGGACTCATAAACCATCACAACAACACTTTAAATCGCAGCAGCGGTCCTTTCGCCCTCGACGAGCTTACAAACTTCTCCGAAAGAGCCAATTCCGAGGACGATCCCCCCACGATTCTCCTACCGTCTTTCAACAGCACCTTCACCGCGGATAACTTATCCCCCCGCGATCATTTGGGCATCTCCGCCATCTACTCGAACATCGTGCAAGACTTGGAGTCGAGTTTGAACGACGTTAGGAACATAACGTCCGCGCGACCCGGCGAAACCTCAGACATGCTGAGCAGCTTTTCCGAGCGCTTGGAGAACATCATGAACCAATCGGAAACCATACTCAGGAATCTGCGGAGCTCTATGGAGCTTTTATCGGCGAGCGCGGAGCAGCAACAAACCGCCTCGACTTCGCGCACGCCCGCGAACGAGCCTTCGTGGAGCTTCAACGACCCGAGCTTTTACGTGCGCGACGCGCGCACGGATTCGCCCACGAGCACGAGCTCGATAGCTTCCGGCGACGGCGGAAGTCGGCAGGCGGGCGCCGGCAGGGTTTTTAACCCCGTCGCATCCGATCACACGTACTGGAGGGACCCTGCAGAGGGTCCTCAAACGCCCGGAGGAAGCGAGAGCATGACGCCGGTCATGATCACCATCAGTCACATCCAGGTGCAAGCCAGGCTGCTCAGGCAACAGGTACGTGTCTTTTTTATACAACACTTTTTTTTATTTGCACTCGTTTTTTTTTTATTAAGTTGGTAGCTTATGCCAGTTTGATTTAATATTTAAAAAATTGTACTTCTGCTGAAGACCTTATAATTGTCAGAGCAATGTCAACAATCTCCCGTCAGACTAAAACTGAGTAAATTGAAATAATTGATTTTGGTATTTTAAATTCTAGATTTGTAATTTTTTTATATATTATATTGAAATATTGTTGTTAGTCTAGTAGCCAACTACAAGGTCTCCAGGATGCATAGTATAGGTGAAATCTGTAATTATAAATTGGAGATGGCTGACTTTGATATGAATTGCTGGAGATTGCTCATTTTGTTGTAAACGTTTAAGGAGATTTAGAAAAATAAACAAAAAAATAATTGTATTTTTATTCCTTTAATGGTTATAAAATTTAACTATACAATCAATGTGGGAAAATTCTGAACTGGACCACATAAATCTGGAGTTTCTTGTAAATTTGGGACCAGGTTGCCTTGTGCAAAAAAGTTTTTATAGTACAACAACTCATCATCTTCTTCCCACTTTGCTTCGTAATGTTTTACTTGCTATGTTTTGACATTATCAGCCTTTTCTTGCTTTACCTTGGTATAATAGCACAAAATAAACAAGATAACTTTTTTTTATAATTCTTCAAAACAATAAAACGTATATATACCTATTTAAATATATTTTTAAGTGCAATTTACTGCAATAGAACTTAACAGTATGTACCAGTAAAAAAACACAAAATTAAATCTCTAAAATATGTTATAAAATCAAATGTTAGGATATCAGGTGACACAAATTACTATAGTAATTATAATTTCTAATATTGGAATTGGAGATAGTATACTTTGCTGCAAATCTATCAGTGGAGTTTGTCGACCTTGCACTAAATGTCATTTTTAAAATAGGATTTTAGGCAGGATTTAGCTCCTTTTGCAGCACATAAACTTTATCATCTTATAGATAATTAGTTGAAGTACAGTCTCCGCCAAAAATCTAATTTTTGACCAAAAGTGGAGATTGTCGGTTTTGCTATGACAGGCCTCAATTATAATTAAATTCTCTGACACTGTCAAATTGACAGTAATATTTATTATTGATAATTTACTAGTTAATTATTATATAATATCAATATAAAAAGATAACTATGCCAAAAATAATATCAGATTCTAAAGTAAAACAACCTTTAAGGGCAAAACTTCATTTCGATGAAAAATCTAGTAGTTAATTTTCCTGTCTTTGAAAATAGCATCCATTTGGTTTAAAAAAGATAAGCAAAAATCACGAAACTTTTTCTTCTTTCAATTTACAAGTTACTGATCATTAATAGTCCTGGACAATATATACATTATAATTATTATTAAGCCACTACAAGTGGCTTTAACAAAATACCCATTCACCATTGGAGTTCAATGATTGGACAACATTCACGTGTGTTCACATAAAATTTCAATTTCTTTTATATAAATTCTTTTCAAAGCGAAGATTATTATTCGCTAGGAATATATATATATATATATATATTATATATTTAACAACTTTTTTATATGATTTTACTCATCTATGCACCACTAAAGCCAAATTAATTGCATTTTTAACTACGAATTTTGACAACTCAACTTGACAACCGTTCAATGTAACCTACAATAATTTAATCATAACCACAATTACAATTATAACTAGTTTAGTTTATTTTAATCAATGTAACTAATTTTGGTTCCGTATTTACCAACCAAAACCCTAAATTCGCAAAGTAGCCGCAGTCCAGATAAAAAAAATGAACTTAACGTGTATTTTTTATACAACACTTTATTTTTCGTTTTATGATTTGAAGCGTCTTTGTTCCCGAAAAGAAAATCGCCTCATTTTATTTAAGTTAGTAGTAGCCACTTCATGCAAGTAGGTACTTAACCATTTGTAGAAATGTTCGAAAAAATCTTTTTGCATGAATATTTTCGGACTTATAAAAAAGCTTTTAAGTGGTTAAAACCACTACTCTTTGCGGATTAAGGTGAAAAATCATTTTTTTATTATTTTTCCCCAAAAATCAAATTTGTTCAAATATAGTATAGTATGTTAGTATATCAATAAACATTATTTTTTCCTGTTCTAAAAAAACCCCAAAAAACAAATTTTGTGCAAATATAGTATAGTATGTTAGTATATCAATAATTCTGTCATTAAGGTTGAAAGTATCGAACGGATAGACAGGGCCATGATAGAAGTGGCCCAGCTGCAACTGGTACGCCAGCTGATAATAGAGCTGGTGAGGCGCGTGCGCAACTCGAACCCCACCGAGAGCGCCCGCAACAACGCCGGCGTGTCGAGCGTGCGCCAAATGATGGCCGGCACGCGCATCAGCGACAACGGCCCCGACGAAGCGCCGGAAGTCACCGCCACCGAACCCCCCGCCGCCCCCTCGAGCAACTCGAGCTCGGCCACGACGAGTGCCAGAAACAGCGAACAGAGTTGTTCGAGTAGCGGCGGTGGGGTTGTCAACGAGGGCGGCAGCTCTCCGAGAAGCAGATTGCGAAGCATAAGGTCAAGGTCACGTTTGCGGAGTGTGGAGTTTAGGTTATTTTTACGGATCGTTTTGCTTGCAGGCTCGACCAGATGATTTCGAGGATGAGCGATTCCAGCAGCGCTCGCACTAATCCGCCGCCACCCGCTGAACCCTCTACGTCCAGTGCGGATGCAACTGCGGATAGCAGTGCACCGCCCAGGTCTAGACCTAGAGGATCCAGCAGGAAAACTTATCCGCCTTCGAGGTTCTTTAAGTCGCAGCGGTTTTGCCGCAGGCCTTCTCTAGTGCACTTTCTGTCGCGGCGTTATTTAAACAGAGGCGATCGTAGCGCGAGACAAAATACGCAAAGTAGTAGTAGTAGATCGAGCGAAGCATTCTCAAACCGACAACCGACCTCGTTATCGAACTACTCCGTCATAAATTCATCTACACTCTCTTTTATGACGCGCAGATTGGAATCACTGCTTACAGAACAAATGCGGCACTTTACCAGACCCGCAGCTGAAACTTCGCACCGCAGTTACGCGTCCATCGATTTAGGCGAGCACATCTTGGCTTTGAGATTGCACGGCTGCATGCTGAGGATAAACCGCGTTCTGGGCGGCTCTTCTGTGCGCCCGGCGCCGCCCAGCATGGCGGTTACAGCAGACGGCGCGTCGCGTTACGGGGCGCGCCATACTCTCGGAGTAATTGTGGACGGAATGAGCCGGCACGTGGAGGAGATGGGCTCATCCTCGACGTTCTCGCAGAGCATGCGCTTGGAAATGCACGGGGTGCTCGCGATGTCGCTGCTGCTGTCAGAGCTGTGCCTGCTGCAGGTGGTGGACTCCATCCCGCCGCCCACCGGCATGAATCTCGACCCGGAGAGGGAGTCGCTGACCACAAGGATCGATCAGATGTGCGCCCAGATGCTGCAGAGCAGGTTTAGCAGCCATTCGCATCAGTTGACCAGGAGCTTGAGGCTCATGAGGTAACTAAAACTTTTACTATTCATTTTCGATTTTCAATTTCAGGATTGTATGAAGGAGGGATCAATAACAGTTTTTTTAAATGTTAATGTAATTTGAATACATCATTAAAAACAATAGTAATGAGAAATATTTTCATTACACATTAAAAAATTAATGTCGAATCGACATTACTCATTACTTTTTAATTAATTAACATAAAAAATTGTAATTAAAAATTTTAAAATACTCATTACAAATTAAACATGAGTAATGTAAAAAATATACATTACTCATGGGAAAAAATGTAATGAGTAATTAACCTAATTTTTATTAAAAAGAAAGTAATCCATAATGAAAATTAAACACATTACTCATTATTTTAATAATTAATAATTTTAATTCATAATTTCACGGCGTTCTCTATAGAGAACTCTGATCAATAACTGTTTAAAAAAATAATAATTGAAGGGGTGGGGATAAAAAAGTTTAGTAACAATTTTACTAATAATAGACAAACATTGTGATTGTAAATAAAAATAAATTTGGTATTGCAATTACATCATGTTTTGTCATTTATTATTAAAAATGTTTATCCACTTGCACCTTTAATTTTGTTTTTGGCATTCTCCACAACAATTTTTTCGAGTCTAAATGCTTAAGATGCTAAATTTAAACGGGAAATTCGCGTGCAACTTCCCTTATGCTCTTCCTACTATTTGCATCAAAGGCATTGAAAATAGCGACTTTATTTTACGCTGTTCTAAAGCATTAAGGAGCACCTTCTATTTAGTTACAACGCAGAACAACTTTACAGTCCAGGGGACGATCGAGAAAGCGCTGGAAAAAACTCGTGCTGCCTCCCTAGCATTGCGCCCATACTCCCTATAAATATTCATTATTTCGGCATAATCAGAGGAGAAAACATAACTTAAAACGATAATGACAGGAACAAAAATTGACAGTACTATAAATTTTAGCAAATATTTTGCAAAAACATTCTGTCATTTCTTTATTATTACACGAACTACACATTCGCCTAGTTTTGTAACTACAGAGTGTTCACAAATTAAGCTCAAAAATTAAAACAATACAACAAATTAATCCAATTCAAGCCAAAATATTATTGAACAAACCATTTAAAATTACTAGTACACCTTTGTGTATAGATATTTCATTAATATTAATATTATGCCTATAATTAAATTAATATTTCTATCTATAATACCATTATTTTTTATAATTTTCACCTTAATTTGTGAACACTCTGTATAAGCTAGAGTAACAAAACTTAGCGAATGTGTAGTTCGTGTAATTTCTAAAGAAATGTTTTAAATTTAAAAAGTGCCTTATAACTTTTGACGTTTTTGATTATAGAGGGCCATAGAAATCACATAAAAGACAATTTTTTTCCTTTAAAAGATAAAGCTTTTCGAATACTACGAAATAAAAATATATATTTTTTTAAATCGGCCTTAAATACCGAATTGTTGCCAATAAAATGAAGCACGCTGTAGGTAAAATGAGGTTTTCGTTAGATTTGCTTCTTGGCCTTTTCTGACGTATGTTTTGAATGAATGAGTTGAAAAGCCTTGGATTTAGCTTAAAATTTTGCGCAATATTTTATTTTTTAAGAAAAAATATGCATTAATCATATCTCGTCTATTGGTGTTGATAATTCAGTTTGAATGATAACAAAACTAAGGGATTTTTACAATTTCATCAAAAATCCAAATATTGACTTTTACACACAAAACAAGTCGGCTGATCTCTCATTTTTTTGCCTTTTTGGGGGACTTGAACACAAAAAATATCACAGCTCTGTTACAATTTTTTTTTTTCAATTTTGTCAGACAGTGTATTGGTCATTTTGAACTAAATATGTCAAGTACCAAAATAAGACAATCTTTGTGTTTATTTCGCACGGTTTTCCATAAAAAAATAAAAATATTGTTTTTTTATTGTATCGAAAAACAGAAAACACGTTAATGACTTTTAAGTCAAAACTTACCAATGAATCAATCTGACATTTGGCATGGCGGTTTAAAAAAAAGGTAATAAACGATGGTAATGCCAACATTCTTCTATATTCTTGTTAATTCCTAAATCCAAATAAAATCTAAATAATTAGGCATGCGACATAATGACATAATCAGGCCAATTCACTAACAGAAGTGGTTAACGTTAGCCACTAGAATCAGTGGTTATCTGCCAATCAGGTCGATTAAATATAACGATAACCACTAATTCTAGTGGCTAACTTATGTTAGTGAATTGGCCTGAATGACATAAACCTTTCAGAACGACCATGAGACACGCTTACGCGGCTCTCGGTCAAACTTACACGGACCGAAGAAACGCGATGTTGCCGCGTCACGAGACCGATCGCAGGCAACTGCTGGGCAGCATCAACAGGTGCCTGAGAACGATAAACCGCAACCAAAGACCGCGCGGTGGTGCCGCTCAAAGCGGCGGCGTCGACGGCAACGCCGCGGAAACAAACGACGGCGCGTCGACGACCGCCGACGCCAACAACGACAGCAACGACAATCCGTTCATGAGCGACTGGTTCACCACCTTGAGCGATTTCATACGCAGGTACTCTAACAGCAACGACGAGGAAACGTCGAACAACCCGTCGACTTCGGGGGCCGGGACGGGGAGGGACAGGGACGCGTCCTCGAGGACCGGGAACACCTCGAGCAACAACAGCGACGACAACGACGACGAATCCGACTGGTTGAGCAACAACAACACGTCCTCTCACAACAGCAACTTGTATCGCAGCAATAACGTCAACTTGAGCGAGCAAGCAGAGTCCAATCAGTCGAGGATGTGGACCGTGCCGTCCGTACAGGTAAGATTACTTAATAGTAGCTCGGGGAAACATTTGTTCCCAATCTGATACACAAAACTAGAAGGTGGGGAGAACTCGCTTTAAATAGGATGCGCGTGTAAAAATATGAGGCACCATACAACAACCAGCGACGCACGAGGCGCATGCGCATTAATTAAAACTTGTTGGGTTTACTGTTTACGTCTGTCAAAAATTTTCACATTTAGTTTTGTTTTCTTGTATTTTGTGTAATTTTTTCTAGTTTAAGAACTGAATAAACAAAAGTTGTGTACTTTTTTATTTAGTGCAAATTTTTTGTCGAACTTATAATAATTAATAGTTTGTCGAACGTTATAATAGATAAAGATGAAGTGTTTAATTCCATTTTGTCCCAACAAGGGCAAAGTAAAAGGCATTATGTATAATAGGTAAGAATAATAATTATAATTATTATTATATATAAATATTATGGTTAAAATGAACCATATGGCGCTTCTAGTGTTAATTAAAAAGTATTTTAAAAGTATTAAAAGTATTTTCTTCCATTTTGTCCCAACAAGGGCAAAGTAAAAGGCATTATGTATAATAGGTAAGAATAATAATTATAATTATTATTATATATAAATATTATGGTTAAAATGAACCATATGGCGCTTCTAGTGTTAATTAAAAAGTATTTTCTTCTATTTTAAATAACTTATTTGACACAATCTTAAAGGGTTATTAAATATAATATTCAAACACAAGTGTTTGTTAACTAACTGCATAGAAAGCTAATACTTCATTATTTACGCGATGTAATTTAAAACCGCAAATTTAAATTTGGATGAAAAGCGCAAACGCACGATTAGTCGGCGCGGATTGTATGTTGCCTCACGTTTATAGACAGGGTTTTGACTTCTCCCCACCTTCTAGTTTTGTGATCTGATATTCTATACTAGAATTCACACTGGGAAAACAATGTTACTGAACATTACATTTATTAAGGGGGGTTTTCGTGATTTTTTTTCTGACGACGCAGTTAAAATTTCTTTACTCAACCAATGGTACATTTAAGTATGACATTCGAAGAATGTTTCATCAAATTTGTACAAGGAAATATTAAAAAATACGGCAATGACAGCAATTGTTCGGACGCTCTCGAAAAAAAGTTGAATTGCTGGTGCTTGGTGCTGGATCATCTGAAATCAAAAAATCAAAGTTCATTCGTTAGATAATAGTTTTCCCCAGGTAACGCTGTCGAGTTTTTTTTTTTACAATTTTTTTCATTTTTTCGAACACTTTGAAGTGAAAAACACAATTTTGTGGGAAAAAATCGGCTAATTTGTTATTGCGAAATCAAAATTATGAACAAAAAAAAAACTCGACAGCGTTACCTCGTAAATGATGTACAGGGTGGTCCACGTAAGGTGACCCATATACTTATCTCAGAAACTACTGGAGTCACAAAAAATTTGTAAGGAACAAATATTCACGAAGTAAAAAATATTTTTAAAATATTATATTTTCATTTATACAGGGTGTTCGGTTTTCCTTGGGACGATACCAACTTTCTTATTTTCAATGGAACACCCTGTATTTTTTTGCATTTTTGGATTCTTCCCACTCTTTTAGGTATACTTTGTAAATATATTAAATAAGAAAATGTTAATACATTTTGAGTAAAATTAAGATTTATTAAAATTTCTCTAAATGTAGACACTCGCTAAAAGTTAAAAATAACCAACTAAAAGTTATTATTTTTTATATTATGTAGTATCCATCTCTTTAATAATAAGTAAGCTATAAGTTAATTATTATATTTTTTGGAAAATATCATACAGGGTGTTTTCTATGTCCCATTGAAAATAGCGATTTTAAAAGTTTAAAATCTTGTTTTTATTCAATGGAACACCCTATATATTTTTGCATAATGGGATAGAATAAGTAATTACCTTTCATTTTATATATATATGTCCTATACCTAAACCTAACAGAAAAAAAAATATTCGCATTTTTCACAATTAGTAGCTTTTTTCCAATTACCTTAGTTAAATTTTCATTATTCAAAGAAAACACCCTGTATAATATTTGCAAAAAAATAAATTAATTAACTTATAGCTTACTTATTATTAAAGAGATGAATGCTACATAATATAAAAAATAATAACTTTTAGTTGGTTATTTTTAACTTTTAGCGAATGTCTACATTTAGAGAAATTTTAATAAATCCTCATTTTACTCAAAAAGTATTAACATTTTCTTAATTAATATATTTACAAAGTATACCTAAAAGAGTGTGTAGAATCCAAAAATGCAAAAAAATATAGGGAGTTCCATTCAAAATAAGAAAGTTGGTATCGTCCCAAGGAAAACCGAACACCCTGTATAAATGAAAATATAATATTTTAAAAATATTTTTTACTTCGTGAATATTTGTTTCTTACAAATTTTTTGTGACTCCAGTAGTTTCTGAGATAAGTATATGGGTCACCTTACGTGGATCACCTAAAAAAATATTCGCATTTTACAAAATTAGTAGCTTTTCGCGTATGGTAATTAATAAAGTAATATATATTTATATATAAAAGCATTTTTATTTGTTGTTTATGAAATTTATTTATTTGAATAATGAAAATTTAACTAAGGTAATTGGAAAAAAGCTACTAATTGTGAAAAATGCGAATATTTTTTTTTCTGTTAGGTTTAGGTATAGGACATATATATATAAAATGAAAGGTAATTACTTATTCTATCCAATTATGCAAAAATATATAGGGTGTTCCATTGAAGAAAAACAAGATTTTAAACTTTTAAAATCGCTATTTTCAACGGGACATAGAAAACACCCTGTATGATATTTTCCAAAAAATATAATAATTAACTTATAGCTTACTTATTATTAAAGAGATGGATACTACATAATATAAAAAATAATAACTTTTAGTTGATTATTGTTAACTTTTAGCGAGTGTCTACATTTAGAGAAATTTTAATAAATCTTAATTTTACTCAAAAAGTATTAACATTTTTTTAATTAATATATTTACAAAGTATACCTAAAAGAGTGGGTAGAATCCAAAAATGCAAAAAAATACAGGGTGTTCCATTGAAAATAAGAAGGTTGGTATCGTCCCAAGGAAAACCGAACACCCTGTATAAATGAAAATATAATATTTTAAAAATATTTTTTACTTCGTGAATATTTGTTTCTTACAAATTTTTTGTGACTCCAGTAGTTTCTGAGATAAGTATATGGGTCACCTTACGTGGACCACCCTGTACAGAAATAGTGTGACACGTCCGAACAATTGCTGCCATTGCCGTATTTTTTAATATTTCTTTGTACAAATTTGATGAAACATTCTTCGAATGTCATACTTCAATGTACCATTGGTTGAGTAAAAAAATTTAACTGCGTCGTCAGAAAAAAAATCACGAAAACATGACTTTTTTTGTATGATTTGACCTAACCCCCCCTTAAGGGTAATGTTACAAATATCCTTTTGGTATCTTTCCTGCAACTTGAGGTGACGTTAAAGAATCATTGCTAAAGGAGATCGCATACTGGCTGACGATCTCGTGCAACATCCAGAATTCTTCAAGTTTAAAAATGGAGCAATTTTTTCCTCCTATTTTGTAAACTCCTACATGCTGTTTGGTGCATTTGCCGTTTTGTATTCTACAAAAAAAACGTCGACTTCAAAAATTAAAGGGTCATAGTCATATTTTCTATACAGAGCACAACTCAAAGGAGTATCGTCTTTCGTCTTTTAGTTTCACAGTTATAAAGCGTCAAACGTCTTCAATGTTATCAATTGTAAGGGAAACAATTTCCACGCGGTGGCAAGCTCCACAAATTACTACGATTTTCTCTGGTAAAAATTGACTATCCGAAGATTCCACAAGAAAACGCGTTATTTGCTCTGCTGACAATATTATAGCTTTTTTGGTGTGTAGCGGTCCGACTTTCTCTTCAAGAATGTGAAAAGCTTTTCGAATCTGTAAAATCATTTAAAATAAGTTTATCAACAAAAGTTTTTCGTAATACTTACTTAAAAATTACCATATTTTCCTGTAGTTTGAGACGTTTTTATCATCGAAATTTTTGTACGTTTGTAACTTTTTGATGGCTCAGACACATAGCAGAATAAAACATCTTCAGTTATTATTTCCACATTTTTTCAGTTGAGCCAAATTTGAAGTGCTTGATATCTTTTTGAATGTCCATCACGTTTTTTTTAACGAATTTTACAAATAAACAACCGTTACAAATAACTAGCAAAGCCCAGTTTTCTTAATAAAAGTATTTTTGATAACTTTACGTTTTTTAAAATTTCACCATGATATTCAAATTCGTTAATTCTAACAATTTTACGATTGTTTTTTATGGGTATTATGAAAAGTATAGCCTTATGTCGTTATATACTATACAGGGTGTCCGGGAAATGGAGGTCAATCCGTTAACCATATATTCCTTGAGTTAAAACAATAAGACTTTCATAATACCATTTTTCAATTTAGAGCTTTATGTTCGATATACAGGGCGACAAAGTTTGAAATTTAAAACTGATTTTTTTTAATAATTCGAGTAATTGATAAGATATTATGTTTAAATTCGGTACACTACTTCAAAATAAATAGTTACATTTTTGGAGACCAACAAAACAAAAAACAATTGTCAAATAATCAAAATAGGGGGGTCCAGTACTTACTGACTCCCCCTATTTTTTAGTACGAGCGCCAATGACTTCCAAACGCTATTTTTTCAGGTAATCATTTATTGTTAAAAAAAATGTCTCTTATAAAATTTTGATAAAATGATTTGTTTTAGAGATAATTTGTAAAGTATGGGTCAGTCCATATCAAATCAACCAAAGGTTCTTCCCCCACCATCTCCGATTTTGATAATTTTTGGTAAATTTGTTTACCTCACTAAAAAACTCAAAAATCCCATATATGAATTTTTTTCGATAGGTGGTTTTTGTTTTATTGATTTTTGAAAATCAAAAAATTCCGATAAATTTGGGTCTTGCAAGTACTTACAAAAATAGTGATATCTCGTAAACTATTCAAAGTAGAAATGTGAGTGGTGGCTTATTTTAAAGGCCTATTAGAGACCTTTTTTATGATATATCACATGACCTAAATTTTTTCAAAAAAAAAATTAAATTTCGAAAATTGGACTTACAAATTATCTCTAAAACAAATCATTTTATCAAAATTTTATAAGAGACAAAAAATGTTCAACAATAAATGATTACCTGCAAAAATACCGTTTGGAAGTCATTGGCGCACGTACTAAAAAATAGGGGGAGTCAGTGGGTACTGGATCCCCCTATTTTGATTATTTGACAATTGTTTTTTGGTTTGTTGGTCTCCAAAAATGTAACTATTTATGTTGAAGTAGTGTACCGAATTTAAACTTAATATCTTATCAATTACTCGAATTATTAAAAGAAATCAGTTTTAAATTTTAAACTTTGTCGCCCTGTATATCGAACATGAAGCTTTAAATTGAAAAAAGGTATTATGAAAGTCTTGATTGACCTCCTTTTCCCGGACACCCTGTATACACGGAAAAAAAGCTATTTCATATTAAAGATTAATCATCTTAGTCCAAGTATATGTTCATCTAACCATTTCGCAAGTATTTATACTTTTTATTTAAGGATTGATTTATTTTTATTTGTAATTTAAAATAATACTTATTTGAAGGATATAGGGAGTGGAATACAAGAACTTATTTGGATATGATTTCAATGTTATACACTATGCTTAATTTAAGAATAAGTATTTTTTGATAAAAATTTTATAATTTTTGGCGATACAATATTTACTTTTGGATTAAATATAAGGTATCTTTATGTTAGTTAAGCAATAATTGTTTCAAATATTGTCTATTCTTTTTTTAACTTTTGCTCGACTTTAAATAAAGGTTAGGATATAATGACCATGTTTATTTCAAAAGGGAAAAATAGATAGGATAATCCACTCTTTACCTTTTAAAATAAACTTGGTCATTAAATCCTATCCTTTAAAGTCGAGCAAAGGTTAAAAAAAGAATAGACAATATTCGAAACAAATATTGCTTAACTTAACCCGAAAAAAATGATATTGGTCTATGGCATTTTCTTTATTACATAATTTTTTGTTACAATGTTATTGTTAATCTTAAATTAAGAATTAGATTATTTCAAGTCTTTCTTGACATTTAACAGACAAGAATAAGATCTGCTTGTTTAAAGAAAGATTAATATTTAGTTTAATGCTAGTTTAAGCCTTGACAATATTAGGTCAATCATCTTGTTTCAACTGTACTTGATTTTAAGCTAAGAAATAAAATCTTTTTAATTTAAGGGTAGGTTAATATTTAAAAGAAATTTTATGTTTTCGTAGGTGTAGTAAACAATCATAATTAAATAGGATATCTTTTGAAACAACATATTCTATTTAGGTAAACGACGTGCCCGTGTCTGAACCGTCGACATACCAGCAGCGTTTGATGAGCCAACGTCAGCGGTTCGCGGACCGCGTGTCCGAGATGCGTCACAATCCGTCTATCGGCGGGCTGTTTCGTCCGCGATTCCTGCATCCGCTTTACGCGAACCGCGTGAACCCGTTCGACGCGGACCTCGACGATCCGCAGCGCGAGCCCATCTACGAGACGGACATGATCACTACCGTGACGCCGAACCACCGGCTCCAGGCCTGGGACATCAGCGACTGGAGCGTGCCCGCCATCAGCAACTGTAAGTCAAATCGGTTTTGCTGTAATGACAGCTCGGCTGCGAAATTTCAACCTAGCAACTGACATTTCTCAAAAAATGTTTTAGCGATGAAGAACGTAATTGTGGGAGAATGCAAAATCCACAACGACGCTAGTGTCGACATCGCCAAAGACGGTACTCTTCTAGTAACCCTGCTGCCATCTGGTGGATATCTAAATGTAACAAACCGATTAGGTGAGTACAGTAAAAATACGTAACAATCGAGTTTATCGCTGGAACTAAATTAGCCGCTGACGATTACTGCCGCTCAAAGGTAATACTAAAAGAGCTTTTAAATTAATTATTTTTTTGGCATGTGTAGACAATAAATGAACTATTATTTATTGTAGCACCTTTAAAATGATAATAATGCTGCGAAAAGTACTTTTTAGTAAAATCAATGAACTCAACAAAAAAATACTTACAAATCTAAAAAAAATTCACCAGCAAACAAAATATCACCTCTTTTTTTATTCAGGAATCATTTTTAAGAGTGATATTTTCAATTAGATAAAAATAATCACATAAGAATTTTTATTCTGCAAATTAATAATATCATGGCAGCTATTTTAAAATTAGATTTAATTTTTATGCCAAACTGATATTTTTAATTTAGTGAATTTAAAATATCTGTTTGTTATATTTGTATTTTTTTGCTAAACATACATTTTTAATTTGCTTAATTAAAAATTAGATTTAATTTTCAAGCCAAACTTATATTTTTTATTCAGTTAATTTAAAATATTTGCTATTTATGAGTATTTGTATTTTTTGCCAAACACGTATTTTTAATTCGCCAAATTAAAAATATCAAATATAAGAAGCAAATATTTTAAATTTATTAAATTAAAAATATCAGTTTGACATAAAAATTAAATTTAATTTTTAATTAGGCGAATTAAAAATATGTGTTAAACAAAAAAATACAAAATTCAATTTTTATGCCAAAGTGATATTTTTAATATATCATTTAAAATTTTTACTTTTTTTAATTGGTTCGCATATATTTTTTATAAATTGAATGCAATTTTATATATCATTTAATATATTTACTTCTTTTAATTGTTTTTTTTTTGTTAAACACACATTTTTAATTCGCCTAATTAAAAATTATATTTAATTTATAAGCCAAACTCTTATTTTTTTATTTAGTTAATTTAAAATATTTGCTATTTATAAGTATTTGTATTTTTTACCAAACACTTATTTTTAATTCGCTTAATTGAATTTATCAAATATAAGAAGCAAATATTTTAAATTCATTAAATTAAAAATATCAGTTTGACATAAAAATTAAATCTAATTTTTTATTAGGCGAATTAAAAATATGTGTTAAAAAAATACAAATATAAGAATCAGATATTTTAAATTCACTAAATTAAAAATACGAGGGTTGGCATAAAAATTAAATCTAATTTTTAAATATCTGCTATGATATTTTTAATTCGCAGATCTTAAAACATATATTTTTAAAATTAAATCCAATTTTGTTGCCAAACTGACATTTTTAATATATCATTCAAAATATTTACTTATTTTAATTGTTTTTTCTTAAACACATATTTTTAATTTGCTTAATTAAAAAATTGATATTTTTAATGCATTTAAAAATGTCTCCTATGAGAATTAAAAATATGTGTTTAACTAAAAAATACCACAGGTATTTTAAATTCACTAAATTAAAAATATCATATCATATCAAAATTAAATCTAATTTTGCCGGACTCTATTCTAAACATTTTGTGACCAAATTCATCCTCCTACCTTAAAAACTTTTTCTATTAGAATAAGCGCTTCAAACTTATAATGTTGTCATATTTTTGCTTAACTTTGCGCAAAAATCAAATCAAGCTCCCTCTAGCAGGTAAGAAAACCTTCAGGTATGTAGATCTGACTTTTTGCCTCCTGCAATTCCACCAATCCTTCCCGCATCACAAATATAGATCACGCACCACAATAAAAAACTCCAAAACTAACGCGAGCGTCAATTAATTTGTAGGCGTGTACAGCCTGAAGTGGGAAACGCTCGGGCAGTGCCTATACACGACCAGCTTCGAGCAGAACGCTGTATCCGTATCCCTATCCCCGCTCAGTCGCCATCTGCTGGTGGGACTGGCATCGAGGACGGTTTCCATTGTCTGCAACGATCGCTGGGTGATGGCGCGCATTTTTAAGATCGAGCAAAAAGACGAGCCGGGGGATCGTTTGCCCATGGTGAGGGAGCTGGTGGGCGACAGCAGAATAAACTGCATCAGGTGGCTGCCCAATTCCGGGCAAGGGATCATTTACGGTACCAACACCGGACAGCTGATCGTTCTAACGTAAACGTTTGGATTTTATCGAGATTATTTAGTTACGTTACTTTATTCTATGGTTTTAAGGAGTGTGCTTTAAGTATTCCTGCGGCCCTTTGTTTTGCGCGATATTCAGGGTTCAAAATAGAAGTTAAATAATTTAATAATATATCATATTAAAAACATGGTATCCTTAAAAGATAATTAAAATTTCAGCCCGGTCTACAATTGGATAACGCTTATAGAAAGGAAACAAAGCGCCAAAAACTTTTTTTGGGCTTAGTAAAATTATTTGTAAAATAATTCATATTTAATAATCCTCAAAAGGTTAATCATCATTTGAATTTTTTCTAAAAAGAATTGAGAAGGTTCCCAAATCATTATTAATTTTTGAGCAGCATTAAAAATGAGTTATTTTGCAAATAATTTTGTTTACCACGGAAAAAGTTTTTGGCGCTTGGTTCCTTTTCGATAAACGCTACCCAAATGTATCTTTTACGGCTTACGTCTTACGTCAACCAATCGCAGTGCTGTGATTCGTTGGCATAAGACGTAAGCCGTAAAATATACATTCTGCGACAATGTAAAAGGATTTATAGGTTGGGCGTAAAAAAATTAAACCTTTCATATAAATTATAGTTACTCTACATATGTATATGGCACGCCGTTTTAACATTTGTTAAATATTTACTTAATTTAAAATTTTATTGGTTTCAAATTTTCCCTACTAAAAATTTTATGGTTACCTTTATAAATTTAAAATATTTTCAAGTATAATTTATTGGGGCAGAATTTTGTTAAACTAAAAACAATTGATAAACAAAAAATATTTTAAATATTAAATGCAAATGTAAAAGTTTAAGTTTAAAATATTGGTTTTTAAAAATTGTATTCTACAAAAGTCATTTAAATGGTAGTTGATACATTTTTAATACAAAAATTTTCACATTACATTTAAATGTAAGTCGATAATTTTTCATTCTCTAGCGAACGCCGTCTGTTAAAGCTACGTTTACACTTTGTAAATTAAAAATTTACGACTTACATGTAAAGTTATAAATTTTGTGATAAAAATTTATCAATTTATCAAAGAGTTATTTAAATGATAGTCGATAAATTTACCACTTTAAAATTTAAGACTTAAATTTTTGTATTAAAAATTTATCAACTATCATTTAAAGGACTACAAATTTAAACCGATAATTTTGTAGAATAAAATATTTGTACTAACAATTTTAAAAATCAATATTTTTAAGCTTAAAGTTTTACATTTATATTTTACTATTAATTGTTTTGAGTTTAAAAAATGGGGCATTCCACGTTACTCGGTAATTTTTGTCCCGCCTGTCACAATTAAAAATTGTGAGTAAAAACCACAAGTTATAAAATTAATATTTTATAATATTATTTTTATTGTGCTTATAACTTATTAAAAACATAATAAAACAATATTTTTAAAAAAAATTTATAACGTGTAGTTTTTACTCACAATTTTCAATTGTGACGGGCGGGACAAAAATCCCCGAGTAACGTGGAATGACCCAAATGTAACTTTGGACATTTCTGTTAAAACATCAATTTACTTTAAGCACTTTATTTACAGTCAAAAATTTTCTTCAATAAAATAGTGGATATTTTCTTACGAGAATCGCGCTAAAAACGCTTTTTTAGGACGATAAAGCACATTTTAGATAAAATTAAAAAATCGATACTTATATTATTTTATAAACATAATATTTTTTACAAAAACAACTTTTTGAGCTTCAAACTATGGTTACATGTTGATGTTATCTATTTTTTTTATTTATTTGTCAGTTTAACGCTAATTTTTTAAATATAATACAATGTATATTTTGCGCTCTAAATATACACAAAGTATTTATATTGCAATATTTTCAAAAAATTAGCGTTAAAATGACAGATAGATAACATCAATCATTTGTATTTAAATGTCAAGGTTTAGGATGTTGGTTTTATTGCAAAAATGAGTTTTAAAGCTTTTAAAAAGTCCTTTTGTGAAAATTGTGTTTTAGGTATTTTTACCACCCTTTTTTAATATCAATTTGATCGTAAAATGTGTTTTATCGACCTAAGAAGCGTTTTTAACGCGATTGCATTAATTTTTGAAAAAATCGACTATTTTACAAATTTTCAAAATGGCCAGGGACTGTACTGGGTATACAGTTTCAATATAGATACTTTTTAGCATTATAAATGCATTTATTAAAAATGTAATCTTTTATTTCGTCTGGTCAATTTTTTGGTAACTTTATTTTTTATTCTTTTTGTGAATTAGATAAATTTTTCTTGTAATTAAAACAAGAAATTTGGATAAATGTCCATAAGAGAAATAATATGCCCTGTATATTTCACAGCATGGATACTTTTAACACATTCCTTAAAGGATAATATAAAACAATTAAAAAAAAAATCCAGCAAAAAAATCTTCGATTTTTTCTATAATACATGTGCCATGTAAACGTGTTGTTATAATGTTCTTCGTATTTTTCTGTAAATAAGTTGACGACGACGATTTGTTTAAGGGGTTACATGCAGTCAGAGGTGTAAAAAATGGACACTTTAAAGAATTTGTTATAAAGTGTTTTTTATTCAAATATTGATACCAATTTCTTATACCATATTTTAAAAAAGAGAAAGATGTTATAAAAAATTATAACTGCACCACAACCCCTTAAAAAGGTTTGAATTTTTAACCATTACATTACACAATAGAGCACTTTAAAAGGTTAGCGGAATAGCTTTAAAATATATACGCAAACTTTATGAAAAAGATATTTAAAAATAGGCTTTTCTCATTTTTATGTTTATTAATATTATTTGATAATATAAAATTTTAAAGCACATTGGGCAAATATGCCTTCTGTTTAATAAATTATAAAATAATATAAATAAATCTACAGGGTAGTCTGCTGAGATGTCAGTTGTTCAAAAACAAAATAATTTATTCTTGGTAGATTACCCATATACATACTATAACCATTTGGAAAAATAGTACTTAGTGCAGTTTTGACAATGAATGGAAATGCTGATTTGTTAATAACCTTATATAAATAAATAAATAAATAAAAAAAAATGGGTTTTATAGAAAAATATCATAAAAGTTTGACCTGGTTTCTAGATAATAGTCGTAAAAAATTGAACCAAGTACTATTTTGTGATTTTTGAATAAATGTAAATAAATAAATTTGTGTTTTAAAACCATAAATAAGTATTTAAAATCGATTTGGTTTTATAGTTTGAGTGTCTTGATGTTAGGGGCAAAATTGGCAAAATTATTAATGACTACCCAAGTGTCCATATTATTTATTTCACTTCAATTTTATTATTGGAATCTTCAGTTAATTTATGTTTGTATTCGGAATATGGTGATATTTTTCTAGTGATATAACATATGTATTTTTCGATTTTCAGTTTATATTCGTATTACTTTTATGATTATTATTAATTATTTATTGCTGTTAGAATTTGAGACATGTGTAAGATACTGATGTATTATATGTGTTTGTAAGTTTTAATATTTTAATTCTAATGCAATAAATTTTCAAGAATCAGTTTTATTACACTGTTTTAGGCAAACAAGTTTTTTATTGATACCACGTATTAAATAACAAAAACTTTTTTGCGTTATTTCGTTTTTATCAATGTTCTTTTTATTTTTGAAACTTTGATTCTTGAATTTGACTGACTTGCTTTTGTATATTACTTATTCAAAATTGTAGATATTTATATATTATAGTAAATCTATTGCAAATTATAAAAAAATGTTTTGTGTTTTATTTAAACATTATGTTTCAGAAAATACATTATCAATTTAAATGATTTTATAACAAGGTAAGCTACTTCTCAATTAATTTATTTAGTTTCTTTAAAGTATTTAAAAAAACAACTCAAGATGCAGTACATGTAGGTATTTAAACTAAAAAATTTTGAGTTGTTTCTTAATTTTTTTCCCTGAAATGCTGGCGCAAAAAAACAGTGGCGTATCACAAAAAATATAAAAAAATTTCTAATGCATATTTTTTCTTATCTTTGAGAAAATATTTTTTTAAATATTTTTCCGTTACACCTTATGTCAAAAGGTATTCAGTATTTTAATACTTTATATACAGTATTTAATAAAATCGAAAACTTGAAAACCACTGGTCAGTTTCACATTTTTGACCATCAATCTTGTTAGAGAAAATAAATATCCAAGATTACAAAAACTTGAATTTTCGAAATAAATTCTTAAAAAGGGACAAACACATTTTTGCTGTAACCTACAGCGTTTCAAATGATTTATGCGGCATGCGAACCGGAGCGTTTCTATGGCTTAATTCAGTTGTCTGCATCGGTTGCACAATAAACCAATTTATCACAATCGGCATTTAAAAATAAACGCAAGTGAGAATAAGGATGTGTAAATAAAGTTATTTTTCGCAAAAATACCGAGACACCGTGGAGATTTATTTGCCGCTAAATGTAAATTATTGCTCACGGTTCTAGTAGAACTTTTGTGACGCTAGAATTCGCAGCTTGTGTTTCATTTAAACGATATTTGTTGTTATGTCAATGGGGTATTTCGGAAATTTTAGAAATTTTGCTAAACGGACAAAAAATATTAAATTTAAAGCCACTTATTTACTCTGGATTTGTTCAAGTAAACATAACAAATTTTTCATCGTTTTTCCATGCCCAAACATTCCCAAAATTAAACCAACCTATAGGTATTTAGTAAATAAAATATTTTTTAATTATAAATTTATTTTTGGTTTTTAACAAATTTTTATTTATTTTTTATTATTTTTGCTAAAAAGCTTTTTGTCGTTTTTTTAAATTATAATAAAAAAATAATAAAAAATAAATCAAAATTTGTTAAAAAACAAAAATAAATTTATAATTAAAAAATATTTTAAATAATAAAAATTATTCAAGGCCACCTAAAAGGACCTTGAAACTCTGAACTGGTGTTCATGTAAACTCTAGAAAAAATACCTTTATATGTGTTATCCATTGACCGCTGTGATTTCCAGGCCTTAATTAAGTCACTCTACTGAGTTAAAGATAGATAAATTTCGATATTTTGTAATAACATGTTTTTTTATTTAAAAACGAATTGATTTGAAATTAAGATAAAATGTAGACCTTATTAATGGCAATAAATCCACGAATTATTTTTTTAGATTTTAACATACAATTTAATTTAAAATTTTACCATTTTTAAGGGTTAAAAAATCGAAGAAGCAACTTTGTTTTATAATTTTGAGTATATCACGTTAAAGTACTGATAATTAACTATTATTTGATATATAAACTTCTACATGCAAATTATGTTTCTACGAGAGACACCATTTTTAAGTTAGGCCTTCAAAGGGCATAATACTAACGTGTTTTACAAAGTAACTATATATTTATATATATATATTTTATCTAGTTTTATAAGATAATGTATTATATATTACACATTATACATTATATATTTCATATAATATATTATATATAACATACAATTCTTACATATTTATTTAAAAAATCGCCATAGATGGAGCTAAAATTACTTTTATTTATAAATTTAAATTTTTTTCAAGTTTACTAATTTTGGTCATATATAGTAGGCAATGCCTACTAGGCATCATAGACTTTTCTTTATGGTAATTACCAAGCTTAAGCTTTCATTGGCAGCATGAAAGATAAAATGACAGTTCAAACTCAAAACATTATTAAAACTAAACAATAATTATAGACAGTGTCAGCAAGTTAGAAATTATAACCTACTTTAATTTTATTTTTTGCTCTACAACCAAGCTTCAATTTATTTTTTACTTGATAAGCAAGCTTCAATTTTAATTCCATACTGAGGAAAGTAATATTTACCCAATAAATAAATTAGAATAAAGACTTTATTTTTTATGTTGCGATCGGCTATTTACATATATGTATATTTTTTATTCAGTTGTTTTTCGCTTTTTTGTAATTAGTTATTTTGAATTTTTTATATTTAATATAATGCTATACAGGGTGTTTCTGGAGAAACGCAAACGATATGGATTTAAAATTTTAATATATTATAGCGTATACGCTTGATTTAGACTTTACCTGAAGTCAATAGTTTTCAAGATATTATTATTAATGGTGTCTACTGTTTATTTTTTAAAAACAAAATCCAAAGTGGTTCTAATATTATTCTAAAATGTACAATGTCCGAAACGGACAATAAATCATAGCAAACAATTTACGGCACATATTTTTCAAAACAGTCATTTCCGTCATTTCAAATTTACGCGCATCTATTTTAAGCGCGGGGCTGCATTGTATTATTAATTCCTTCGAATTTTCCGTTGAAACACGTGTTTGCGCAAAACGAGAAATGGATCGTCTTCATGCCGCATTTGAGAGAGAAATTTGTACGTGCAGTCAGCGCTGTAAATCGCCGCTGCCAAAACATTTCTGACGTAAACACAAGCAGACATGTATACAAACATGCTCGGGCAGGACATTAACCCAATCTGTCCGGTGCGTTATTTTTCGAAATTAATCAACAATTTTTTATTCGACAGGCGCAGCGGCGGAGGCAAAATCAGTACCATGTTAAATCGTCCAAGTAATAAATAAAACGACTTCTTCCTAAACTTTTGATTTTTAATTTTAAAAACAAAAATTCTTCTTCTTTCTTGGTGGCAAAAAGCGGTTTCAATGTACCATTTTGACTAGAAACAAGTTTTAACGTCCATGCGCTTCACGAAACCATCCACCCACAGACATGTGAATTTTCCAAAATATACAGGAAAATTTATATTCCCGGAATCCAATTTCGTCCCTCCCAGCAGGTCAAAGTCAGCTATTTTTCACACTTTTTCATCGAGCGATACACACGAAAGACAAAATCGAACTGAAAAAAACAAACAAAAATTCTTCCTTCTTCTTCTTCTTCTTCCTTGGTGGCCAAAGGCCTTATAAAGCCAAAATGGTACATTGAAACCGGTCTCGGTTTCAATGTACCATTTTGACCAGCAACAAGTCTTAATGTCCATGCACTTCACGAAGCCATTCACGGTGAATTATTCACCCGTAGACACGTGAATTTTCAAAATATTGGATCATCCACTCAATGTATTGTACAAATCAATTTTGTCCCCCCTGGGTCAAAGTCAGCTATGTTTCACATATACCTATAGGTTATAGGTATAGGTATACCTATAGGTATATGCACAATATGGATTGTGGGTATATGATGTTTCACACTTTTTCACGCCATTTATGTTTATTTTGTTAAGTTTTATCCGAACTGTTTAAATAAGTGTTAAGAGTTTTATTTATTTTTTATAATGGACAAAGTTTTTTGTGTTTCATTAATGTTTCATATTTTACCTTAAGTAACTAAAGGGTGTACCAATAAGAGCGCAAGATTTGAATTTCGCCTCAGTTTGGCAACCATGATGTCACATGATTAATGACATGACAGATTGATAGGAGACAGTTGGAAGTTAGTAAATATAGAGCATTACACGATAGAACAACCCGTCCTGATTGTTAAACACTATTATCAAAATGATGAAAGTTTGATTGCCACGATTCGTAAAGGGCGTCCAATATTTTTTCGAAATAATGTTCCTAATTCATCTACTGTGAAAAGAATAATCGAAAAATTTGAAAGTACTGCTTCGGTTAGTGATGTGAAACACACGACACGAGCTCGTTCAGAACAAAATATTGCAGCAGTTCGCAAGAGTGTGGCCGAGAGTCCAGAGACGTCGATTTGCCATCGTGCACAAGAATTGGACATTACAAAAGCCACTCTTCGGCGAATTCTTACTTAAGATTTGCATCTTCATGCCTACAAAGTCCAATTGACTCAACAACTCCAGCCAAAAGACCATGAACAGCAAAGAGAGTTCACCAATTGGATCCTTGAGCAGCAAGAAGTGAATGCCGATTTTGCGGACAAAATCTTTTTTAGTGATGAGGCCCATTTTCACCACTATTTAACACCCTTGGACTTTTGGCTGTGGGGTTATTTGAAGTCACAAGTTTATGCCAACAAGCCCGCCACCATCGAAGCCTTAAAAGCAGAAATTAGACGCTTTATCAACGAAATACGGCCACATGTATTCAATAATGTTATTGCAAATTTTGCCAGAAGAATACGCTTGTGCCAGTTAAGCCGTGGTGGCCATTTACCAGATGTGTTATTTTATACATAATTTCCAAATGTGTACTTTATAAATCAATAAATATTTCAATGCTTTAATACTTAAAACCATGTTTTACTAAACTTTGAAATCTTGCGCTCTTATTAATACACCCTTTATAAAGCTTTATAGTCACTTTAACTAAATTTACTATTTAAGTACCTAAGTATTTTATAAGTAGGCACTTATTTATATATGGTAAAAAAATTGGAAACGAAAAAAACCGTATGGACCGAAAAGATTGGTCCTAACCGGACAGAAATATTTTTTTTGGAACCGTAACTGAACCCGAACCGAAATTTGTCGTTTATCTCGGAACCTGAAATATTCCTGTATCTTTGGACAATATCGCAAGCTTTGACATTTTAGCGAGGTATTTTGTGATTTGTACACGAGAATTAGTGGATGATTGCAGATTGGAAAATTCACATGTCTGTGGGTGGATGGCTTCGTGAAGCGCATGGACGTTAAAACTTGTTTCTGGTCAAAATGGTACATTGAAACCGAGACCATTAAGGCTTTTTGCCACCAGAAAGAAGAAAAATTATG